GTTGTTAAAATCTAGCCTAGAGCAGCATCTGCTGTTAAAAACTAGCCTAGAGCAGCATCTGCTGTTAAAAACTAGCCTAGAGCAGCATCTGTTGTTAAAAACTAGCCTAGAGCAGCATCTGCTGTTACAAACTAGCCTAGATTAGCAACTACTGTTAAAAAATAGTTTAGAGCACCATATGTTGTTAAAATCTAGCCTAGAGCAGCATCTGCTGTTAAAAACTAGCCTAGAGCAGCATCTGCTGTTAAAAACTAGCCTAGAGCAGCATCTGTTGTTAAAAACTAGCCTAGAGCAGCATCTGCTGTTACAAACTAGCCTAGAGCACCATCTGCTGTTAAAAACTAGCCTAGAGCAGCATCTGTTGTTAAATACTAGCCTAGAGCAGCATCTGCTGTTAAAAACTAGCCTAGAGCAGCATCTGCTGTTAAAAACTAGCCTAGAGCAGCCATCTGCTGTTAAAAACTAGCATAGAGCAGCATCTGCTGTTAAAAACTAGCCTAGAGCACCATCTGCTGACAAAAACTAGGCTGCGTCGAAAATTGCATACTTCCATACTATATAGCACACTAAAATCAGTATGCGAGCCTAGCAACTCACGCGGGTATGTCACGTGTTGTTCAATTCACACAACTCACATTCCTACTGTATAGAACGTACTTTTCTATCGGCCGAGTAGTAAATTGAAATTCAAATGTAGTACCTACTGAGTAGTAGGTGATTTCGGCCACAGCCCTAGACTATAGCACAATCTACAGTAAAGAATTAGCCTACAGTACCATCTGCTGTTAAAAACTAAGCTCAGAATCGATTAAATAGGGAATAGCGATGCACTTTGAAAATCTCAGAATGGATTTTTCAAACTATTTGTCACAGCTCCAATCCAATTTTATGCTACGACACATTACCTAAAATTGTATGGTGAGAGTTGAACAACTGCTTAGCAAATTGAACAGGCTTGCACATTTTTATTGGTACATGATAAGACGGTTAAAGCCCTACAGAAAATGACACAGAAATGTCGCGTTTTACATGACCTGAGATTCTGAATGTGATAGAAATTTAAGTGAACTTGGCCTGAGAACTAATTACAAAACATCATTCAATGCTGCAATATCACAAATGATTTAATTGTTTGTCCTGTCCTCCTCTGTTATATCACATTGTCATGTCAGATTTTACTACATCTGAAAACAATCCATACATCAGCCAGCACTCAGAACCAAACCACCCCCACCCCCCACATGAATCCCTCTGCTCACTCCATTTAATGAACCAACAGAGTCAATAATATATAAAGCCAGCCTGGGTAAGCATTCTGCATAATAGACAGAGAATGGGATTAACTTTCCACTCTGTGGCTGAACTGTTTGTAACAGACATAACAATGTGCACATACATGCATACATACATATATATATACACATACAGTTGAGACCAGAAGTTTACATACACTCTAAAAAAAGGAACATAACCATTTTTTAAAAAAAGTCTGAAGTTAAATGACACTAAAGGTTTACTATTTTAGGTCCGATAGGATTACCTAAATGATTTACATTTGCTTAATGCCAGAATAATGAGAGATTTTTATTTAAAATTTTTTTGAGAATTCTGTATTCATTTCTAGACAGTCAAAAGTTTACATGCATTTCCTTTTTTTTTTTTTTTTTTTTTTTAAAGCTTTGCTTTTAAACCATATAACTTTGGTTAAATGTTTTGGGTATCCTTCAACAAGCTTCTCACAATAGTTTAAATGAATTTTGGCCCATTCCTCCAGACAGAATTGGTGTAACTGAGTCAGATTTGTAGTCTTGCTCGCACAAGCTTTTTCAACTCTGCCCACAAATTTTCTACAGGGTTGAGATCAGGGCTTTGTGATGGCCACTCCAAAGCATTCACTCTGTTGTCCTTAAAGCACATTTTCACTAATTTGGCAGTATGCTTAGGGTCATGGTCTGTTTGGAAGATCCATTTGTGGCCAAGTTTTAATTTCCTGGCTGATGGCTTGAGATGTTGCTTCAAAATTTCTACATAAAGTTCTGTCTTCATGATGCCATGTATGCTGTGAAGAGAACCTCTTCTGCAGAAAAACAGCCCCACAACATGATGCTGCCGCCCCCATACTTCACAGTTGGGGTGGTGTTCCTAGTCTTTTAAGCTTTCATCTTTGTCCTCCATATGTAACACTGCTCATTATGGCCAAGCAGTTCAATCTTAGCTCCATCAGACCACAGGTCACATGTCTTTAAAAAGTATTATTTTTCCCAGTGTAATTTAGCAAATTGTAATCTGGCTTTTTTTGTTGATTCTGGCTTGTTGATTTTCCCATGTTGTCACAAAAGGAAGCAGTGTGATTGAGGTTTTCCTTAAATACTATTGTACAGTTGTGCCTTCAATTAACTCAAATGTTGTCAATTAGCCAATCAGAAACTTCCAAAACCTTGAAAACATCATCTGAGCTTTTTCAAAGTCATAATAATCTTATTGTATGTAAACTTGACTTTCAAGAAAAGTTATAACAATTTCTCAAAAAATGTCTCTCTCATTATTCTGCTATTAAGCATAACAGAAACAAATCCGATAATAATAACTTAACTAAAAGAGAACAGTTTAGTCACATTAACATCTGACTTTTTATTAATATCTGACGTTTTATTTTTAAATGGTTATTTGCTTTTATACAGTGCAAGTAATCTTCTGGTTTCAACTATATATATATATATATATATATATATATATATATATAGTTGAAACCAGAGGATTACATACACTGTATGTAATACACACACAAACACACACACACACACATACAGTATATATAAAAATGTATATAGATATTTCACCTGTCATTTAACCTGAAGGTTTAAAAGTGTCACAGACACAGTGTAGCTGCCCGCTCACCCACAAAGTTGATTAGTTCCAGTGAACCCAGCATATACCCGCATCCCAGCAGCACCAGCCCTAAACAAATCAATCTGCAGCAGCAGCAGCAGAGGCCAAAATTCATCTAATCAATCTGAATTACAACTTCAAAACGCGGGGCATACGAGGTGACAAACACTACTATTCGCTTTTGATTCCACATGCACTTTCAAAAATTCTTGCTGCCTTAAATAGTTTGAGCTGAATCAAATCAAACTTTCTAGTCATCTCAACTTACATCAATCATACAGCTTAAAACTTTTAGTTGAAACCTGATTAAGTTAAAATACACTCAATGGCCACTTTATTAGATACACCTGTCCAACTGCTCGTTAATGCAAATTTCTAATTAGCCAATCACATGACAGCAACTCAGTGCATTTAGGCATGTTGATATGCTCAAGACAATCTGCTGCAGTTCAAACCGAGCATCGGAAAGGGGAAGAAAGGTGATTTAAGTGACTTTGAACGTGGTATAGTTGTTGGTGCCAGACGGGCTGGTGTGAGTATTTCAGAAACTGCTGATCTACTGGGATTTGTACGCACAACCATCTCTATCGTTACAGAGAATGGTCCAAAAAAGAGAAAATATCCAGTGAGTGGCAGTTCTGTGGGCACAAATGCCTTGTTGATGCCAGATGTCAGAGGAGAATGGCCAGTTCAAGCTGATAGAAAGGCAACAGTAACTCAAATAACCTATGCCTACAACTGAGGTCTGCAGAAGAGCATCTTTAAAAGCAACACAACACATCCAACCTTGAGGCAGATGGGCTACAGCAGCAGAAGACCACACCGGATGACACTCCTGTCAGCTAAGAACAGGAAACTGAGGCTACAATTCGCACAGGCTCACCAAAATTGGACAATAGAAGATTGGAAAAACGTTGCCTGGTCTGATGAGTCTCCATTTGTGCTGCAACATTCAGATAGTGGGGTCAGAATTTGGCATCAATAACATGAAAGCATGGACCCATCCTGCCTTGTATCAATGGTTCAGGCTGGTGGTGTAATGGTGTAGAGAGATAATTTCTTGCCACACTTTGGGCCCATTAGTACCAATCGAGCATCACGTCAACGCTGACCATTGCTGACCATGTCCATCCCTTTATGACCACAGTGAACCCATCTTCTGATGACTACTTTCAGCAGGACAACACGCCATGTCATAAAGCGCGAATCCTCTCAGACTGGTTTCTTGAACATGACAATGAGATTACTGTACTCAAATGGCCTCTATCTATGCCACGAAGGATTGAAGCAGTTCTGAAGGCAAAAATGGTTCAACCCGGTACTAGTAAGGTGTACCTAATAAAGTGGCCGGTGAGTATAAGTTAATATTTGCTCTCTTGACTTTCTCTCATTACATTATTTTACAGGGTGCAAATTTCCTCGATTCGATGTTGCAGAACAAAACAACAACAAACCCCAATGACTGCAGTAAATTTGCTTGGGAAGTTTGTAAAGACTTTCTCCCATTCCCTAAACGCTTGCTTATTTTTTGAGTTTTATTTAAAATTCTGTCACGGTACGTTCGCTGATGCAGTGCGGTGAATTAGTATGGCCTAATTACAACTCCAGTGATTACTGCGAAGTTTAATTAGCGGAAAACAAGACATGGCACAATGAATTCCTCCCCGGATCCCCACCAGGTTCACACAGAATATCAGGAGTTCTATTTTTTCTTCTCTAAAAAAATACACGTCTCTTGTGTGTTTGTGCAAGAGTGTGTATTTCTCTTCATGCTTTGGGTCAGTTATTTTCAGTAGGTCTCTTGAGGCCAGCAGCAAAAGCGTATCCTTTACTGAACCTCCTGTTTAGTTTTGAAGTTAACCCATATGGACTGGAGCTTTTCCGTTTTAGCGAGGCTCTGGATACTGTTCTTATACAATCTGACAGGGCCTAACACACTACATTCACTGCATTCTCCAAACTGGCGGTTATGGAAACAACGGCTGCAGCCAAGTTTAGCACCTTTGAACGTTCATGCAAGGAAAAATAGCTCACTCATGCCACCTTATGGAGCATCTGAGCCATCGCAAAAGCAGTGTTTGGTGTGAGGAGATGAGAAGTTGGAATGTTACCTCTATGGCCACCACAGTTAGGATGAGCTGAGCATCCGATTCCGGGAAATATGCTTTCACTTGTGGAGATAAAGCAATCAAGGCACAGTTGGTCACCACAGCAATAATACTCATCGTCTCAAATGCCAACTGAAAGAAGAAAAGAATAATCAGATGTTAGTTAAAGGGGACTGTTCACCCAAAAATGACAATCTCCCTGTTTCTGTCTCGAGTGGTAACAAACCATTTATGAGTTTTGAATTTAAAAGAAGATATTTTAAAGAATGTTGGAAACCTGACCTCTATAAAAATAAAAAAAATAGTATGGAAGTTAATAGTGAGCGGTCTCCAATATTCTTCTAAATATCTTCTTAAAAATAAAAAGGATTAACAGACTTGGAACAAGTAAAGGTTGAATAAATGATGATAGAATGTTTTGGTTTTGAATCAGGGGATCTGCAGGTTTCATCAAATCAAATTTAAGACCTTGTAAGACCATTATGAATGAATCTTTAGACGGTAACACTTTACAATAAGGTTCATTAGTTCATTAGAGCACAAGTAGGCCTATGAGCTGATGGTAGGCCTTTGACCTCTGTACAGTTCAGCTGACAACGAAAACTATGTCTTGATACAATGCTATCATAGAGTTATAGATAACCCTGTACTGTATAAAACAAATATGATTACAGTATGCTTTTAAAATTAAGAAAATAATATGATATAAGTATAAATAGGAGCATGAATGAGGTCCTAATATTGAGCAAATAATAAAAGAATTTAATGCTGTTTAACGATTAATACAAAAATACACTAATCAAAGTGAAACATATATAAATGTTTATTTATTCATTCATTCATTTTCCTTCAGCTTAGTCTCTTTATTTATCAGGGGTCGCCACGGCGAAATAAACCGCCAACTTATTCAGCGTATGTTTTACTGGTTTCACACACATACTGTACTTGAACCAGCGACCTTCTTGCTGTGAAACTGACCACTCAACTGTGTCGCCATGTTTATTTATATAAACATTTATATATAGCACAATTATACATGCATATTTATATTCATTCATTTTTTTCGGCTTAGTCAATTTATTAATCAGGGGTCACCACAGCGGAATGAACCGCCAACTTATCCAGCACTATTTATGCAGTGATGATTAGGATTTACTTCAACAGATGGTTCATCTGAAAAATCGACCTTCTGCCACTTTTCCAAATGATTAACTAGAAGTCAAGTTAGCATTTGTTGCTCTTGCAACTGGGATAGACGACAAGACTTTTGTCTCGTAGTGTATATTTTATATTTTTTGTTTTCTAAATGGTTAACCACTTCCATAGTATTAGTTTTTTCCTACTAATGAAGTCAATGGTTATCAGTTTTCAACATTATTCCAAACTTCTTCTTTAAAGGGCCATGAAACCCCCTCTTTTCAGCAGGGTGTTTTCACACCTCTACTTTGGAAAAAGTCCGAAAAGTGGGCGTGTAAAGCTCTGTTTAGGGGGGAGTGTCGGAGGAAGAAAAGAGGCATGGTGTGGGAGTGTCTATTTGGGCGCGCTGAATTTCAGAGTCAAAACACACACACACAGGGGACAAAGTGACTGTGTTTACATGGACATCTGTTGTCGAATTATTTGCCAAATTATTAAATGGTGGACTTTAACTGCAGTTTGGCTCTTTCATTAAGGGAATTCATTCATGCCCCTCGCGACAAACGAGATATTTGATTCGAGGAACAGCTGTAAGCGTGTTTTTTTCATGCGCTGATTGGTTTGAACCAAGCCTTACTCATACATTAATGCATCACACTGTAAGACGTAATAAGACACACTCTGGCACAGACGTCCAGTCTGCACGCTGGAATACACGCTATTATGTCATGACCGTGACGCAGCTTCAAAAATTAGTTTTAAACCGGAAGTACGAATTTGCTTGAAATAACGCAAAAACAACCAATTTACACTTTTTAGTGAAATATAGGTGTCCTAATAGTGTTTTTAGCAGTGTGGGACACATATACGACTGTCAACAGCTCAAACAATGTGTTTTGGTGTTTTGTGACCCTTTAACAGAAAACAAAAAAAACTCTAATTTGGAACAAGTTATGGTTGAGTAGACTGTATTAGATAATAACAAATTTATTTTTTGAGCGAACTATCCCTTTAAGATTTCTTTAAAGAACAGTAAATGATCAGCTTTTCTCGAGTTGCTCTGGAGGTTTTCTCACCTGCCACACCCCGATGTTCGCAGCTGGTTCTGAGAAGGGACGCTTGAAAACGTGACACATCTTAAAGGCGTCAGAATAAACCTCAGTGATGTTGTTTAGCACCACCAGAACAGCAGCCAGTGGATACACACAGGAGAAGAGACTCACATAGCCGAACAACAGGAACTGCTCAAGGTAGTCATCAAACGTGCCCTGATGATCAAAGGTAGTAATTATTACCATGTTTACAAACCTTGCCAAACTTTCTGAAGAATCCCAAATGTGTAATTACTGTCATCACTTACTCAGGCTCATGTCACCCAATAACAGGCCTATCACACTTTTCACCATTCCATTCACTTCAAACCACAAGCTAATCTGAATAGATTATGCTTCATTCTGTGAACTACACTGTAAAATATGAATAATAATCGGTAAATCATATGAATTTTTCTAGTCATCGCAACTTATGTCAATCAAACTGATTAAAAACATTGGGCCCTATCATACACCCGGCGCAATGTGGGGCAAGGCGCGACGCAATTGTTGGTTTGACGCAAGAGTCGTTTTGACGTTTTCCGCCACGCTGTTTAAATCAGGGGTTCCCAAACTTTTCAGGCCGCGACCCCCAAAATGACAATGCCAGTGAGTCGCGACCCCCAATATACTTTGAGGTGGTTATAAATACAGAAACCTTGCATGCAATGGCGCACACACACCAATGGATCCAAGTCCATTCAGTCTTCTATTAATTTTTTTTATGTATGAGAGCTGGAAATGGGCCACAAAGTTTAACCGGGTGTTATGAAATCTGCTGCATCTGACACTATTGCTGTGTCTTTAATACAATGTAATTACCCCAGGGGTTGCAATCCAATAGAAGTAGTAACTATAAGCTACTATAGTAACTATATATGGTATAAACGACTATTTTTTTTCTCTTCAGAAGGTTATGGATAAAATATGGTAATTCTTATGGTTGAATAAAAATAAATAGATTTTTGGAAACCACCAGGCGACCCCCTTTCATTGTACCGCGACCCCTCGGGGGGGTCCCGACCTCCACTTTGAGAACCATTGGTTTAAATAGCAAATGCATTTGCGCTCTTATGTGCGGCCATAGGCGTTCAGGTCTAAAAAGGGAGGCGTGTTGAGGTGCATTGCTGTTGCATTGCTATTTTGAGAAACTGTAATAGATTCTTCAATAGACCAGAACAAAGCCGGTCTATTGTCCAGCGCAGAGCGTGTTAGTTGTGCGCCTTGCTTACACACTGCTTATACACACAAGATGCAGAGCAATATGCAAATATCTTCACAAATGAAAAACAAATAAAATATTAAGGATATTTATAGGATATAATAAAGATATATATAAGATATAGATATAAAAGATTAAAATATTACAAAACATATTATTTTTTTAGCCTACATAAATATAAAAAACACTGCCTTCATGCCTTCTTCATCTCGGGAGGCTTTTTCAGTTCATTCATAACAATTTGCTTTTGTATAATGTTATTATTATTAGCAGTATTATTTATTATATGCGTATTTATATTTGTTTTATTAAAAACAAGCTTAGATTTGTCCACCTGTCAGGTTTTAGACCATATGGGGCACAGCATGTGTTTTAGGATATAACTCAGTATTTTGAGCACAATTCGTTATTATTGTTCATTTATTCGTTTGCTGGAAATTAGAACTGAATTTAGAAATAGTTTTGAAACAAATATTTGCGCTTAACAAACAAAATTAATTATTTATAGGTTAATTAATGTCTGTGCGTACAAGGTTTCCCTATCCACGAGAGCGAAGGTGAAAGTAGATCATTTATCTCTCATTTTCAAGCTGTAGATGCTCTGTTTAACTGTTTTCTTGCTTGTGAAATGCTCATTTTTTTCACTTACACTTATTTTACGTCATGTAAATAGCAAATGTGCTTATGGCGCGACGCAACTGTCTCTTAAAGGGAATGGGAGATGAGACTCTGATTGGTTTATTCTCAAAACACACCTATAACTCATTAATAAAATAAACTCAACCCTTTTAAATCATGCGCCATGACGCAAAGCAGATTTTTCCATCCTTATATTAGCAAAAGTGGATTCTGACACGCCCTGAAAGCGTTTGCGCTCTGCGCTTTGCGCTTTGCACTTTGCGCATGGACCGTCAAAATAGAGCCCATTATGTTAAACTTTGTATAACCTAAACAAAATAGTTGAAACCTGATTACCTTATTAAATTAAAGAAACAAAAACATTTCCTGTCATGACTTGTTGTCATATATTATTTTACAGTGCATTATTTATAAAGCAGATTTCACAATCTGGAAAGTGAAGTGCACTCAAAACATATTTTTGCTGCTTGTTCAAACTAATTTGAAATGAGCCGAATCAACACAATTCTTGGTTTTTGGGACAACTTAATTGTTTTATGGTCAATCCATCTAAATTTGTAAAAACAATTAAGTAACTTAAGTGACATGAGGGAGAGCAATGAATAATAGAAATGTCATTGTTGGACCCTTTATGTAGCATTCACAAAAAAAGTGTGTAGTCCAGATATGAACCTTTAATTTAGACTGAAAGTGTCCATCTGTCAGTGGTCACTGAGACTTACCAAATAGGTGTTCATTTCAGTCTCCAGCTGAATTTGTTCCAGCAGAGGGAGTTCTTTATCACCCATCAGTCTCCTCATCCTCTTATAGACTCTCTTGTTCCTCCTTCTCTGCAGCCAGTAGGGCAAAAATGCCTCCATCACTTGATTCAGGATCTGAGAGGTGATGAGCAGGGTGGCCAAACTCTGATGATCCACAGACAAATGACAAGGGGTTACATTAATGGGATAGTTCATTCAAGGAAGTCTTATTTGTTTATTTTGGCTAGAATAAAAGCAGTTTCTAATTATTCAAAACATTGCTATTTTAAGGTTAATTTTTTTCTGATTGTTTTACAGAACAAACCACTGTTATACAATAACTTGCCTAATTACCCTAATCTGCCTAGTTAACCTAATTAACCTAGTGAAGCCTTTAAATGTTACTTTAAGTTGTATAGAAGTGTCTTGAAAAAAATATCTAGTAAAATATTATTTATTGTCATCATGGCAAAGATAAAATAAATCAGTTATAAAAAATTAGTTATTAAAACTATTATGTTTAGAAATGTGTTGAAAAAATATCCCAGAAACTAGGGAAAAAATAAACAGGGCGTCTAATAATTCTGACTTCAACTGCATATATATACACACTGTGGAAAATAAAATTATCTGGTAATTAACAGTTTAGATTTTTTGTTCATTTACAGTTGTTGAATTGCATTATGGGAGCTTGATCTTTGCTCTGTCGACTTTTAATGTTGAAAATTTTACTGTACAGTTTAACAAAGTGACTTTTATTGACATTTTAGTAGTTTGAAATAATATAAAGTATTAGAAATTATATAGAGAGAAAGAAGTCTGTAAAATAATAGAAAATGTACTGGCAGGATAGTACAAGGTTTTTGTAGTGTACTATACAACACAAACCCAGAAAAACTATTAAACTATTAAAATGTTAATACAGTCAGTTTTTCTAACTTTTCTAACCTTTCCAAAGTTAAAAGTTGTTGGAAGTCAGATCAAGGTTCCATAATGCAATTCAAACGGATAAATAAATGAAAAATAAAAACAGGATTACACAAAATGTGTAAAACTGCAAACTGCAGATGCTTTTTAAGGTGTACACATATACAGTCAAGCCTGAAATTTTGGGTTTGACAATATCTATACTCTGTTAAACTTCCTTGGCAAAAATAGTATAAAATATAAACGGATGAATGAATGAATGAATGAATGAATGAATGAATGAATGAATGAATGAATGAATTGTATCCACAATATGTTCTCTAATGAGTGAATGCCAGATATCTGTACAGAAGTGGAAATAATTTAGTCAGCAAAGACCTTCTTTTGGATTTCTACCACACAAAGAACATTCATATCACTTAATAAAATACAGGTTAAACTCCTGGAGACACCTGAGTGAATTTTGCATTTTAAAGCTTAATGCTTCTTTGCCAAAATCAATTAATGAATGAATTTATCAATGCATGAATCAATGAATGAGTCAGTAAATGAATCAATCAATGAATCAATCAATCAATGAATCAATGAATCAGTGAATCAATCAATCAATCAATCAATCAATCAATCAACAACTGGATTAATTGTAGTTTTTAAAGCTTAACCCTAGGGGGTGAACGAAGTCTCAGTGGAGGAGCAAATATCTCAGTCAGGTTTCTATAAAATACCTTCTTTTGCTTTTTGAGGTTGAACTAAATTCCTCTGGATGATTTTTAACATTAAAAATGACATTTTCATGCAACCGAATTTTGGATTATCGAACCCTTTTTTTCTTGTTTGTGTGTCTGAAATGCTCACCTGTCTCAGAAGCACCATGTCTTGCATGACAAAGGCAATGTAGAAGAGAGAGGCAAAGCAGTTTACAAAGTTAAACTGGAAAGAAAAAGAAACAAATACATCAAAATAATCCTTAATTGTAATGTTCCCCACACCTTTAGACCAATCTACAGCTGTTCCATGAATATTAGATGAGAATTTTTAAACTAGTGACACAGAGATGACTCAGATCTGGGATTAAAATGTTAAAGTCAATGGGAACAGTATCTCCAACAGAAATAGATGTACAAGAGTTAAACTAACATGAAATAATAAAATATGCAAAATAAATATGTAAAGTATAAAACAATTGAAAGCATACCACCAAAACCTTGAGCACAAGGTGATTTTGAAATGAGGACTCCAGTCTGTGGTTTTCTGTACAAAGAAATAAAAAAATAGAATAGGATTTACAATAATTATCAATTATAACTATCATCATTAATAATGATCACTCATTTGATATTAATCAAAGATCATACTTCTCATTTTAGTGTCCTTTTTTATTACATTTATTATATTTTATATTACACTAAACACATTTTAAAGATGCAGTATGTACAGTTAGTTTGACACCCAGTGGTTGAACTAGGTATTGCAGTCCTGGATCAAAACACATTTTCACAAAGGCTCTTTCTCTGATGAGCCCACGCAAGCGCAGGTTGCCAGATTGATGCGAGTGTGCCTGACTATCGAGCCTAAACACTGATTTAAGAACTATTTAGAAGAACTATTTTCCATACTAAAAGGAGTTTATTCCCAGTCATCCCCTGAAATGTATATTTTAAAAACGGCTTTTATTTCTCACAGGTGAACAACATGTGCTTTATTAAGTGTTAAATGCTAATAATGTGAGTTTGAATGTCATTTTACATGAAATTTATTGTCATACTACTGAAAGCAGCAACAGATGATTTACCAGATTTTAAAAATAAATTAAACTTTTTGAAGTTGAACTTTAGAACTGTGACTCTGCAAACCAACACATATCAGTGATTCAGCATCTACATTTAATAATGTTAAAGATATTTAATGTGTATGAATTAGATTTTATGTAAGGTTTATGATTTAATTAATACATATTCATTCTGTTGGAGTGCAGTGAGTGCACTATTCTGTGTATCTGAATGGCTGTATTTAAATTTCTGTCGTGTTTTGTCTGGCGCAAACAGCAACACTGCTTATCAGTGCAAATCTCATCATGTAGTGGGTTGTTAGGACACAGGGTTAAATATATCCTGCTCATCTAATGTTTACTTTCGTAATATTAATATTATTTGCTAATTAATAACCACCTTATTTGGAACTTTGAATCTGCGTCTCATTTCGGAGTCTGCTACTGTCCACCAGAGGTCGCATTCAGTCACGGAAGCATGCTTTGAGAGCCTTCCTAAATGAATGAATGAAATTCTCTGTTTTCCATCAAGGCAACCAGAGACGCTGAAATATAATTGGCTAAACTGGCATTGGGTGGGTTGAAAGAACCAAAACAAAGACCGGCACATAACGTACATTTTAAAAGCAGAATATCTGACCTCAGTATTGTTTTTCAGATAAACAAGTATGTTCAATTAGCATGTTTTTTTTTTAATATCTGCAAACATATCATGGCATTTTTATGCTTTAGAAGAGTCAAAAACTTACATACAGCACCTTTAAGATTAGTTTATCCACTCGAGTTAACATGAACCAATAGTAAGCAACTGTATTTTCATTAAATTACACTAATGTGAATAAATATACTTACATAAATGAATCATTCATTATTTGTTCATGATAGTGAATAAGAAGAAGAAGAATGCTGAATGGATTTCAGGCTCACCCCAGTCTGTGAGAAACTCTGCAGCGTAGCGATACAGCAGGTTCATGATCTCGATGACCACAGCATAGATGATACTCGGGACAAACAGCAGAACGCTGGTTGCAAAGTTGGGATTTTCATGGTATATGCTTATGGCCCAGAACTCCATGTCAAAGTAAACCATCATCACGTAAAAGGACAAATACAGGCACAGCAGAACGAAAGGGACCGACACCAAATATATCCTCAAATGTCGCCTGTCACAGGAAAACAAACACTGTCATACAAATACTGTATTACTATTATTATTAAAGTGGACTTATTATGCCACTTTTCACAAGGTCTAATATGAGTCTGTTCTCAAAATTTGTACTAAAATTTTAGCTCAGATTACAGCACAGATTACTGCTGAAATTGTTTTTTTTTTTTAGGGTATGCGCCAAATTGCGTCTCTTTGTGTTTGGCCCTTGTAAATAAACTGCTACTCCTCCTGTCAGGATGCAAAGTGTGTGGTTTTCCAGCTAAACCGGGCTACTTAAAAAAAATATTCCCTGAAAGAATAAGACAAGATTTCAACATACTTGGAGCTAGGGTAGATTGGCTCCTCTCGGCCGGTGACTGGATTCAACCCCAAGGGTCCATGGAATCCAGCTCTTGGTTCTTCAAAGGCTTTTTTACGGCCCAGAGTTCCCCAGCTGTATGCTAACGTAGCGCTGCACCGCTTCCATACTTCCAGAAATACTGTAGACCAAACCAGGTTGAAGACGGCAAACAGGACGTACTTGTCGTAGTCCTCCCAATCGAAGAGGTAGTAGGGGATACCAATGAGGGCCATGGGTATCAAGGCAAATGTGAAATACTCCAAAAATCCAAAGTAGAGTCCCAGACCTTCACCAAAGTAACTTCTGATGTCATCTACACCATGAAGAATACAGCACAGTGGCTTTAGCATACTATACGGTTATTTCAGGCAGCCGTCATTTTAAAGAACCAAATCGAGGCTGCGGTCGGAAGAAACCCGGAAGTATAGGACCAGCACTGTAAATATTGCAGTAACATGCTGTGGACTGCAAACCTCCAGATTTCAAAATGCAGAAATGGTGTAAACATCACTTTAATATCATTCAGTAAGTTTAATTTAAACAATTAAAAGTAATTTAGCATCAAACAACACCACAATCTCTTTAGGAGTAATATGCTCAAGTGTTCTCCTAGGCTTCAGTTCTTGGCACCAGTTAAACATCGTGGGGACGCTTTCCTGCTTCAGCCTATGTAACCTGGTAAGTGATAAAACACTGCAGTCCTCTGTAGCACACCCTCGTGTTGTCTGTAATAGTGTTGTCCCGGTACTGAAGTTTTAAAAACATCAATTTCCCGCTAACATATAAGCGCCGCTAAGCGCGTTCATAAACAGCGCTGATTTACTATAGTGTTCATCAGTGCTCAACAGTTTACCGCTCTTCACCAAGTGCAAACAAAGATACACGAACACTGGAGCGCGAAGCAGCCGTGAAGATCAGTCGAGTCATCAAGCGGATCGCTCGTCTGTGTTTGTACTCGGTAAACAGCAGAGTGTGACAGATGACCTTCTCGGCCAATCACAATCATTTCTATTAAGCACGTGAACACAATGGCAAATCAGCGCTGTTTTAAGAAAGCCATCAACAGTGCCTTAATTGTTAGCGGGAAATTGAGGGTTTTTTCTTTTAATTCGGTATCATGACAAGTCTAATATACTAAAAGAATCAGTTCATTAACTTGAGTTTGATAAGTGAAGTTTATTCATAAACTAATTTCGAGAGGATCACGTGCTTATGATTTATCACGGCCGGTCTCGTATTTACTAATCACTCGTATTCCAATCATATGTGCCCTAAGCTACTATAAATAACCACAGTTTTCAGTTCATTTGATCTTCGTTTGGAAGAAACCCTCCTCCTCCCCTATTCTCCTCCTTTACCTCTGATCAGGCGGCACGGCGGCCCAGTGGTTAGCACTATGAGCCCCACAGCAAGAACACGGTGGGTGTTTCTGAGGAGGAGTTTGTATGTTCTCCCCGTGCCTGCGTGGGTTTTCCCCGGGTTCTCCGGTTTCCTCCCACCATCCAAAGAACTTCAACATTCATAACAATCAAGCATCTGTCTAACCCCTTTTGTTTCCTTAGCTACCGCAGCCGGGGAGTTTTGAGATCCACGGAACTCAGGCTCCCCTCTCACTCTGCCAACGGGAGGAAGCCCCGGCCTCGAGGATCCCTTGAGCTCGGGGCTCTCTCCCGGGACAGCATGCCAAACAAGCTTTTATAAATCATCAGCTAAGTGTGAACTCTTGAAATAGCGTGTGTTTGGGAAAGAAAACGTTAGCTAACTAGTGCCATTTCCTTTAACTTAGCTGAAAATGAGCTCTGATATCACTTTTTATTTTCACAAGAACGGACCCTTCGGGTCACTCGGAAGATGGTGAAATTTTAAATTTGTGTCACTTTCTCTTCGCTGATAAGATATACAGCCAGCTACACAACATTCCTATATAACTCCCAACAATACTTCCGGGTTTCTTCCCACCGCAGTCTAGATTTCGCTTTTAAAAATGGCGGCCGTGTGAAATCAGTCTACAAAGTTATAACTTACTTGAAAACAAAAATTCTGGCAGAATTTACTCATCCTAATAAGACATTTCCTTAATTTTTAGAACAATATTCATGATATTTTTAATCAAATGGATTAGTGGTCCAGGGTCACATTTGTTTTCCAAACATGAAAATGAATGAGATGAGGGTGAGTGAATGATGACAGAACTTTAATTTTAGAGTGAACTAACCCTTTACAGTGGATCTATTTTAGATGGACTAAGTATTATTTTGCTTAGCTCAACATTAGCATTAAATAAGCAGTCAGAAGTGTTTTCTTAATGATATAAGAGAAGAAAATGTTAAGAGCTGCCATTTATGACATTCAGCTGTACTTAGATAACCAATATTCTTGTGAAAGTCTCAACTGATATAAAGGCTGAAGCTGGGTTTAAAGTTCATGCTGCCAGCGCACACAGACAGAGTGACTCACCAAGTGGCTGGAAGGACAATTTGATCTTTTTGTACCACGAGAACGAGAGTCTCTTAAGGTCTTCTTTGTTATGGAGAGGGAAATACTGGACAAGGACACCTTTAGACTGCAGTCTGCGTACTGAAAAAGAGTTCACCACCAAAATGTTAAGGATGTTCAAAAATGACAAAAAGCATTGCAACAAACTGCGTGTGGATTACAATCATCATCCTGCTGATGTAGACGTTGGACTGAAGTAGCTAATATTAATATACCGGGTGGGCCTTTTATATGGATACACCTTAATAAAATAGGAATGGTTGGTAAAATTAACGTCCTGTTTGTGGCACATTACTATATGTGACGGGTCAAACTTTTCAAGATGGGTGGTGACCATGGTGGCCATTTTGATGTCCGCCATCTTGGATCCAACTTTTGTTATTTTCAATAGGAAGAGGGTGATTTGACACATCAAACTAATTGGGAATTTCACAAAAAAAAACAATGGTGTGCTTGATTTTAACGTAACTTTATTCTTTCATGAATTACAAGTTTCTGACCACTTATAAAATGTGTTCAATGTGCTGCCTGTTGTGTTGGATTGTCACTGCAACCCTCTTCTCCCACTCTTCACTCACTGATAGCAACACCACAGGAGATATGCCAGCACAGGCTTCCAGTATCCGTAGTTTCAGGTGCCGCACATCTTGTATCTTCACACCATAGACAATTGCCTTCAGATGACCCCAAAGATAAAAGTCTAAGGGGGTCAGATCGGGAGACCTTGGAGGCCATTCAACTGGCCCACGATGATCAATCCACTTTTCAGGAAACTGTTCATCCAGGAATGCTCAGACCTGACACCCATAATGTGGTGGTGCACCATCTTGCTGGAAAAACTCAGGGAACGTGCCAGCTTCAGTGCATAAAGAGGGAAACACATCATCATGTAGCAATTTCAAATATCCAGTGGCTTTGTGGTTTCCATTAATGAAGAAAGGCTTCACTATCTTTTAGTGTATGAAGGGCAGAGGTTTGCTGAAGAAGTACTGACAGATTTCAGCTGCTGTCTGGGCTTTCACTGCCTTTCTACACCTTCCTTTCTTCATGTGTTCATTACTTTTTCCCTGCGTCATTTCATTTTATTGTGCATAACTTAATTTGTAAACTTATTAGATTTCTTTTCTTTGCATATATGGATTACTTTGGTTGTTACCAACATATGGGGAAAATTTCAAGTCAACGACACCTTTAGAAATGGTTTTCTGAGAAAAATGGTGACGTGTTCAAAACTTATTTTCCCTGCTGTGTGTATATAAATGTCTTGTTGCGGGTAATATGTTTATCAAATGCACACTTACCAATTGATTTTCCAGGGTAAAGCTTATACTTGGGATATCCTGGTATATACTCTTCGTTTTTCGCTCTAAGTGTATCCAGTTCATGTTTAACAATATACTGACACTCCGCATCACTGAGAAATCCTTCACCGTCTCCTGTTAGCATAATACAACAGTTATAGGACTGCTAGGACCGATACATAATGCTATACCAGAATCATTAGCACCTTATCAACTAGTCATATTACTGTAATGCTTTTATAATGAACTAATGGGGTTGAAATTACTAAATAAACACTGCAATCACCTTCATTTCGTATTCTTTCGACTTGGACCTCACCTTCAAAGTCTTTGAAGCTTTCTCTGTTGGCATAAGTGAACCCGCGCATTGTGCCATCTTGAAACTCCTTAAACAAGCCCACATCTTCAGCTCCAATTAAAAGCCTCTGTAACGTGGAGCCCACAACAAAAACATTTGGATTTGGCTTCTGACCATCCTGAGCTGGAAACAGCAGCTGGTCCACCAACAGCTCTGCTCCTGTAAAAGGAATCGCATTGTTAATGTCAATACACACCTAGTCGATGCTAAACAACTAGCGCCAACATGCTCACGTCTGATTCCCTGTGGACCAAATAGCTGCACGTGAACAAACAAAAGCCGACTAAAATGAGAGAGTGCGTTCTGTGATCAAATATAATTATAAAAGTGGGGCGTGCGAGGCATGATAGCATGAGTGCTAACTGCTGACACCTGGACCTGCCACCTGTCTCGTCTCACGAAGGAGCTCTGAATGATAAAAGGAGGAGAGACCGCCGTAGAAGACGAGAGAGGACCAGGGGGCTCATGTACGAAGACTTGCGTGGAAATCTTACTAAAACATTGCGTACGCACAAAGCTGTAAATGTGCGTAGGCAGAAAAAAATTCAGATGTATGAAACACTGCGTACGCCGAGTCTCACGCATATTCTTTTGTACATCCGAATGAACGTGAAACTGAGCGCAACATGCACGAGCACAAAACCCCTCCCTGCCTCCTCCCCCGTATGAATATGCTAATGACTATGCTAATGGTAAAACCCAACGAAAAAGCAAAGGCAATACCAAGCAAAAAGAGAAACTTTGAACAGAATGTGAATTGGAGGTGCTGCTTTCGGAGGTAGATCGGAGAAAAGCGGTGTTATTTGCAAGTTTGTTTTTCGGAATTAACAACAAAAGAAAAAAAATAGAGTGGGAGAGTTTAGCTGATGCGGTTAACACAGTTGGGTCTGAACATCGCACTGAGTGAATTAAAAAAGAAATAGTCTGGTTTATATCTGTAAAATGTTGCAGGACGCTTAACAGTCTCAGTGGCGCGCTCGTAAGACACATGTGATCATGTTTTGACACGTTCGAGCATGAACTCGGCTCGAATCCAGCGTCTGATGAACTCTTTCTTCTTTTTTTTCCCCCGCTACATATCATATTTTGCCTACTATTTATCACGAGAAAGACTAGTAGGAATCATTAATAAGTTTGTGCATCATATTTTATTTGCACATTTATTGAATGGAAATGTTTCTGATTCACGCATGCAAATTCATCTTCAGATAGTGTCTTTATAGCAATGTGCGTGCAGTAGATCGTTCAGATTACATTGGGAAAACAGGCGACCGCTGCAAATTGTGCTTTAATGTTTAGCTGGTCAACTGTATGGTATGGAAATCTTACATACCTACTAAATGAACCCGTCTCATACAGCTGCCATTGCAAGGATCAGACACTTTGTAGAGAAGAATTTAACACAACTGCCTCTAGGAGTCGCCAATGGAAATAAAACAGACACGCACAAAAAATGTGCGTACGCCAGCCAAAAAGCTGCCGTGAACCTGCGCACATTCCCACGTTCAGTTCATTGTTAGTAAATCCAAACGTGAGCGATTCTGAGCGTGAAACCTGGCGTACACAAAGTTTTTGTGCGTACGCAGCGTTGATACATGAGGCCCAAGGTCTGGACACTTTGTTTTACTTTTGCTCTCAGTTTGGCGGCAGTCTCTGTGAGGGCTGCCATCTGTTTGTTTTATTTTTTCATTATTAAAGGGCACCTATTTTACCCCCTTTTCAAGATTTAAGAGAAGTCTTTTGTGTCTCCAGAATGTTTTTGTAAAGTTTCAGCTCAAAATGCCACCAGATTTTTTATTTTACCTTTCAGAATATTGGGATTTTCTGCTCTAAACACATTATAGTTCTTTTTGTTGCCTGTGCCTTTAATGCTAGTTTTCCCCGGCCACCAAGTGTGCCTCAATCTCCAGCTGTGTCAGATAAACAGTGACAGACATGAAGTGGATCTTGTGTAACATTTGTGAGAAATACAACAGTAAGAATCTTCCCAATGATTATTTGATGTATTTGTTGTGGAGTTAATTCAAGCCTTTCTGCAAGGATGAGTCACACACAATGTTGTTGCAAAGTTCAAGCACACACCCCCACATGCACCCCCAACTTCGCATTTTTTGCACGGCAAATGTGACAGGATACACGTTAATATATCCACTGCTGTCTTGATATCTGTTATGTTAATGTACAAAATAAACCTGATTTAATGTCAACAAACTAGGATTAAAGTCTCTTCTTTTATAATTGTAGTGACATGTGGCTGTGGTGCTAAAGTAAAATCGCTGAAATTCATTACAAACATGCACTGATTTAAAACCCTTTTAGAGTTGTAAAACTCAATCGTGATCACACTTAATAATAACTGATGATCACAGAGAGCTGAACAGATCTTTTAATCCCATTTGCTGTGCAATTTGGATCTTTTTTAATGTCATGAGCTTTAAAAAAAGAGACTTATTGTTATTATGTAATGTAAATGTAATGTTTTTATATTACGCATTTATTGTGTATGGCCATACACCCAAAGCGCTTCACAATCATGAGGGGGGTCTCTCCACACCACCACCAGTGTGCAGCATCCACTTGGATGATGCGATGGCAGCCACAGGACAACGGCGCCAGTGCGCTCACCACACACCAGCTATTGGTGGAGTGGAGAGACAGTAATAGAGCCAATTCGGTGGAAGGGGATTATTGGGAGGCCATTATTGTATTGGCCGATAGAGGGACTTTGGCCAGGACACTGGGGTTACACCCCTGCTCTTTCACGAGAAGTGCCATGGGATTTTTAATGACCACAGAGAGTCAGGACCTCGGTTTACCGTTTCATCCGAAAGACGGCGCCCACTGACAGTGTAGTGTCCCCTTCACTTTTACTGGGGCATTAGGACTCACATAGACCTCAGGTATTATATCACCCCAATATGACTATGGACACTATATTTACACACCAAGAAGATTACAGTGTTATTTTACATTTGACTACTCAATTTGTGTACCTGACTACTGTCAGACTCCCAGAAAACTATAAAGCATTGTCTATGTGTATTTTTGTATGTTGTTGGTTTATTATAGTTTGTTTCTACATAATGATCCCAACTGCTCTAAAATAATGACCCCCCCCCCCCCCCCCCAAACAGAGCGCTTTGTGTCATCTGGTGAAATTACTCTCAATATTTCAACGTGTATCGCAGAAAAATAAAACATTCCAATGTCAGTTTTTCATGAAGTAACTGAAAATAGAAGCATTTGTATTTTCTCTAAAGGCAGATTTTCATATTCAATGTCCTAGACCTCCATGAAGGGCAAGGTTCAAATTTGCTGCCGCAGTGACTAACACTGACAGAAGCCCAAAAAAACAAAGAATGGACTTTAAACAACTTCACAAGGCACAAGAAGTTTCTGTCAACCTCATATCCCGAGATGTAAAATGCCACGAGTCCCACCTCCATTACGCTGCTTGTCTCTGATTCTGTTTAGTAACCAAGCGATGGCCTCTGCTTTAGTGTCATGAGCAAGCTCCAGGACCACCAGAGGGGTGAACGGAGACGCATCACTGTCAGAAACCGACAAGCCAAGTTGCATTTTTCCTGATCCCTGTGTTACAAGCACACAAAGAGAGACAAGGGTCAAAAAAAAAAAGCATAAATAATACATAACACTCTCCTCAGCATTCAGTTCTTCACATCAGACGAGCATTTATTCATATCAGAAGTCTTATTTGCATCCATAACTGCTTATGGAAATGTTTTCATGTTACTTTGAACAGTCATGCAAATAGGTCATTCGAACAATTAAGTCATGGCTGGTTTAAAAAAAAAGTGTTGCGTCACATGATGTGTACTTCTTGATAATACAGACATATAAAAATGTAACATTAAATATGACTCACTATCACCATTATGTGACAGGTGCAAAGTGACAGAAGACACAACTTCCCGTGCTTTCTGGTTTTGTCCTTTGTTATAAACATTTTGGTCAAGCATATTTGATTGGTATTCTAAAGCTTATATCAAATCTTTACCACCTGATGAAGAACTTGCTATTTTTGGATATTCACACAGTGGTGTAAAGTAACTAATTACAAATACTGAAATTAGTGCAGTATCAGTACTTTTACTATAAATATATATATATATATATATATTATAAATTATTATATATTATATATATATATAAATAAATAATTTATATATATATATATATATGTATATATATATATATATATATATATATATATATATATATATATATATATATATTTATTTATATATATATATATATATATATATATATATATATATATATATATATATATATATATATATATATATATATATATATATATATATATATATATATATATATATATATATATAATTATATTTAATTGGATTTTTTTCAACTCATACGCTCACACAAACACACACAACACTTGGCACTGTCTCGGACAAACAATAGGTCAATGAACAAATAACAATCACAACATCGTTTAGCAAGTGACAACAGAAAATCAACTAATTAAATATGTAAATAAATAAATGAAGTCTCTGAAGAATCCTCAGAGGTTGAGTGGCTTTGCGCATCCAGATAGTTAAGAAATAAACCCCAAACACTGAAACATTTTTCAATAGAATGAGTCCTCAGAAATCTCAATCTTTCGATCTGTATAACTGAAGTCATGTCTGCAATCCACATTTGAAATGTAGGAGGAGAAGATGACTTCCACTGCCGGAGCAAAATATCTATATTTCTTTTTGCGCATCATTCCTTCCCATCAACCAAACGGTAAGTGGGGCGTGGTTAAGAATTTTATTGTAGCTGAAGCCGTCAAACTGAGGAAACCACCACTTTAAATGTGGAAGCAAAAGGTCAGGTTTTTATTGAAGATTACCAAAAACAAACTTTTTTTTCTTCAGCAGATTAGTATGCACAGATTACAGGTCTGTGCATTCCGAGACGTTTTTTGCTCGCGTTTTCCGCCAACGTTCAACGCCTCGTGACTAATAAAGGGCGTCAAAGTGACTGCGCACACCAATGCGCAAAACGACAGGTGCAAAAACATCATTTAAAAAAAAAAAACTTATGTTTGTTTTTTTGTTTTGATGCGCCGCCGTGTAGCGCCATGTAACGTCAAGGAGTGATTTTGCATACTCTACTGCTTGACGCCAATGAAAAGCGATTGGGTTTGAATACTGAAAAACGTCTCGTAAAACGCAGACGATAAACGCAAACTAAAAGCGTCCCGGTGTGTAGGAGCCTTAATAGTTCACCTAAAGAAAAACAATTTTAGCAGAACAAACATAGTAAATTTCAAACTCACATGGCCTTTAGAGTCAGTTTGTCTTCATAGCACCTTAAACCAAGGATTTTTGCAAACTAAATTGAAAATGAACTTGCTAGCCAGTTAATCCAGTTTCATGGTACAGACCCCTTAAAAATTGCTTCATGTGTCCCAAAAACTGGCTAATTTCTTAAGGGTTTGGAACGACATTAGAGCGAGTAAATGATGACACTTGACAATTTACATTTTGAGGTAAACAAACCGTTTTTTAAACACTCTTATGTGACTTACTGGTATTTCCAAACTATCTTTCATCCCACAAAACATACAACGATCTACAAATTGAGAAGTTTCAGTACAACTTTACATCTATCTGTCCTCAACAAATCTCTCAAAGATCAAGATCCTTCAGAAAGTTGACTCACTGCTTAAGAGCTGGATTCTGCACCAAGAAATCCTTAAGAAGAATGTAAAACAAAATATGAACGCAAATCCACAAAAGAATGGCTCAGAGGAAGGTGACGGAACAGTTTGGAATGACCAAATCAAAGTCCAGACCTCAATCCATCAGTAATATTTTGAGAGACTCTGTACATGCAAGAAACCCTCTAATAATAGGGTTACATGCAAGAAACCCTAATTATTATTTTACTTTATTGTATTATTATTATTTTATTTATTATTATTATTATTATTGTTATTATTATTATTATTATTACTTATATACTACAGATGAATGAAAATACGGTAATGATTTACTCATCTTCCACTTTTTCTTTCTTCTGTTAAACACAAAGGAAAATATTGACCTTATTCTGCATTGCTGAATTGCGCTCGTTTTTGCAATTGTTTTAGAACTTCTGATGCAGTTGTCTTTGTTAAAAAAACAAAGATTAATAAACGGTCAAACCACTTGCTCTACAAACAAGTGTGTTCACGACTATCCATAAAAAGTAGAATAATATAACATGAAAATATCAGTTTGCAACATCAAGCTGCATAACAAGCTGTTTTAATGGGTAAAATAATTCAATAAGGTAAATAAGTATGTCAGGGTAAAATAGGGTACATGCCGAAGCATGCTAATAGGACTTTTAATTTGCCAGTAACCTGGGTTAAGCGCTTCCGGTGAACAGTATGCCAATGCAAAAAACGGCGTGTTCAAGGGCTGTTTTCTTTAAAAATCCGCGATCTCCACTAGCTGAGTGATATCCGATATAAAGTGGGTCTCAGATTGTACAAGAAGCAATGCATTAAATTACATTTTCCCCCGCCATGTCTTTATATTATGAGCATTTATTTTACCCCAGTATATTCAATGGAGCTTCGGCGCTAGCCTGCCGATTCTGACGGACGTGTGCGAGTAAACGGCTTTTTGTCTCTATTTACGCTTGAGCAATTAAATGAATACCAAAGTCTGTTTAACTAAATGTATTTTAATGACATTACAACATCAATGTTGTAAAGAGAACCTTATAAAATGGAAAAAAGTTCACAATAACAGGCCACCGGAAGTTTATCAGCATGGGAAGAAAACTAGCTCGGCATAGCACCCATTAACTTTAATGGTGCTTTTTGCTCCTACTATAGGGGTCCGTTCTTCGTACCTCACTTAAATGATCTAAGATGATTTGGCAAATCCTGGATCTTTTAATCTTGATCACTGATCTCTCGCTAATTTGGTTCTTCAAACAAGTTCGCGAATCAGATTTAAATGTCTGGATAAACTGATCTGAGATCGCTGCGTGTGTTGTGAAGGACAGATCTATCGATCCTCGAAATCATGATCAGCAATGCAACGATTGGCTGACGGCACAGCAGCGTAATGACATCATCTGATTAATATTCAATTATCCATGTGAGCAAAATTACATCAAATTAGCAGTATGGTTTGATAAATATGACACGCAATAACTTTCCACATTTGTTGTGCAGGCTTTACACTTTCATTTGTCAAGAGTATTCATCATGTATTTCAGTGCATATCAATGTATTTAGTTCCACATTTAGAAAAGATTTTCTTTATTATAGTAACCATTTTTTAATCGGTGTAAAGAATAACTGGATGTTTACAAAAGCCTTTTCATATTGGTAAAGGCGTCTGCAACTTTCGTGAAGCATCAAATCACCGTCATATTAACTATCAAAACATGTTTACGACTGCATTAATGTATTATTTATTTTTTTATGTTGTGCATTTCTATTATACACAAATTGTACTAAAGCAATCTAAAAAGTTCATATCGATAAGTTTTCTCTTTGCACCACGAGGTGGCAGTCTTTGTACTTTCATTTCGAGGGTGCAGATTGCATACGTTTTATTAATTTATATAACTTTATTTATTTTATTAATAACTATAACTTTATATATATATATATATATATATATATATATAGTTAAAAATATTTACTATTTTCCCAAGTGTATATAACTACTACTGTAAGAAAATATCAGAATTCGATTAATACTTTATCTATTTTCTTTGCTTGAACTGAGCCGATCTAATCCTGTCTATATGAATGAACCTGCTCCCGATCAGGTTTGACCTAGCAGAACTGTTGCCATGACAACAACTCTCGGATCAGCTTTGAAGAACGAAACGATCCTGGATCATGTCAAATCGTCAATATCCAAATCCAGCTAACTGAGTAATCCACGTACGAAGAACAGACCCTAGATGTGAATGCCTATTTTTCTCAACATTCTTCAGTATATCTTCCTTTGTGTTCAACAGAAAAAAAATCATAAACATAAGCAAATGGAGTAAATGGTGAGGGGGGAAAGTAGTGAGGAAATGTACATTTTTGAGTAAACTATAGCTAGAACATCGGCAACATACAGTAGACAACATTTGAAGTTGATGAATAACTCAAATCTTGAGTTTTTAAAATTGTCCCAAGACAATAATCAATGCTGTTGAACAGTTTTAGGACATGAAATGTTTTGATCCACATTGAATGTTGACCACTGTATATAAAATAACAACTTAAATCAATATAAATTCCAGATAAAGGAGTAAGACATGGCACATTGTGTTTGTTTACATCTATCTACCTGCTGTTGTTACACTGTCTAAAGAGATTAATAATGCATGTACTGTACAGTATCTGATAAAAAGGGCAGTCCTCCATCTTCTAAAATGCCGCATAAGCTGTTAAAGGAAACATTACGTTATATTTGAAGAGGAATTCATCTTGAAACAAAAAGGGGGAGAAGTACCAAAGGTGTGGCAAAGAAAGATGCACAAAATAATAAACCTGAAGCGGTTTCCCAGAGTTTGTGGATATGGGAAATACAGCATGTGATTCTCATCACAGCTAATCCTTTTCTTGAGTGTCCTGACAGTCATCTGAGTTCATCTTCATCATGACAGATCACTGGGCGGAGCTAAACACACATGCCCGACAAGGAAACACTCAAATGCAAGGCTATATGAGACCACAGTTACAAACATGCAGACAGTTAACCTACAATTGTCACTTTCGTTGCCGCTTTTCGATACCTAAACGCTTTTTAAACAGCATATTAATGATACAAAGCGTGTGTCAGGCCTGAACACTGACATGTAAACAAACTGTGTATACTCACAGTGTTGCACGCGCGATCAGCTGCCCGGAATGCGAATAGACGTCAGTCCTGCACATTAGACACCCATTTAAACCGGTTGATTTAAAACCCCTGATTCGGTTAGTGTGATATTTGAAGTGTATGGGTCGGAGAGGTTTAAAGTTGAGGCTGACTTCCTCCACGTCACCGAGATGACACAGCCCTAATTCTAGATCACACCCACCCGCCGCTCAAGCCTGCTATACAAACACGAATGAGCAAGTGATTTATCAACACTGATTTAATCGTGCACTTAGTAAAAGTGCCTGAAATAATAGATAATTTGGCTTGTTCGCATGCACGCTATTATACTTTTATATCAGAGAGTTAACGTTAAATAAAATAGCAAATTGTGTATGGCTTTAAATGGGTCGTGTGCTGTAAAAAACGACTTCTGAACTGTACATTTAATGCTGATAATAATCACTACAGAACTGGGAAGTGTAGATCAGAGTTCACTGTTGACGCTCTGTCACGTGATCTACACTAGTGAATCACTTTTTTTTAATGAGCCGGTTCTTTAGAACTAATTGATTCACAAGGCATAATGCATGTCGTTCCGAATTAACAAATTAGTTTGGCACAATCTGAATTCGAAACAGTAATTAAACCAAGTTAATAATTGTTTTGTTGATACACTACAGAAATTACAACGAAATTAGGAAGATTTATGTGACTGGTTATGTTCTTTAAATATAGCGTTTGTTTTCTTTTAGCAATCACAAAGTAAAATACATGTATTTTGTAATGTGTTTCGGAAATAGTAGAACTGTTTAGCGAATCAAATAATGTTTTTTTGTTTTTTGTTTTATTTAGTAATAGCATTTTTATGTCCTCGTGCAAAAATATAATCCCTAATATCTGACTGTTTTTCTTTTTGTCAATTTGTAATTCTCTTGTTCTCAAAATCTCTTGCTATGTTTGGTTCTCTGCACTGCCTTTGTGACTTAATTCGGTTCGTTCAGATCACTTTTCAACTCGTTCGATTGATTCAGTTAAAAGATTCGACTCACAAGAACAGTATGTTCCTGATTCGGACTGTGGCACAGGTCTGACAGAACAACACTGTGTTAAAAACATGGCTGAGGAGACTGTGTTAGCGGACACCGGGTGAGTGTGACGCTCTTAACACATAAGTATTTATATAAAAAGTCCTTAATGCTGTTTATTATATATCAAATGTACGTTATTATTGTTGCTCTTTATTTTCACCTGAGTTTGCAAACTAAGTGAACTGCAGTCAACCTTGCTGCTCTCTCTCTCTCTCTCTCTCTCTCTCTCTCTCTCTCTCTCTCTCTCTCTCTCTCTCTCTCTCTCTCTCTCTCTCTCTCTCTCTCTGTGTGTGTGTGTGTGTCAGGACACAAATGTTTATAATGACATGGATATTACACAGATATTACAAGGAGATGGTGAAATATGAGGACATTGCTGATGTTCCTATTTCTCAAAAGCATATGAATCATACAGAACTTTTCATACAGAGTTTCCTTTTAGAAAATAAAATTAAACAGGTTCCTGTGAGGGTTGGATTTATGGATAATAATAATAGAATATAATGGATAATAAAGATAATGGAAACCTATGGAATGTCCCCAAAATTAAGAATTAATGAAAAATAAACCTGCACTAAAAAACAAACCTGAAAAATGCTGGGATTTGTGTTGACACAACATGAAGGAATTGAGTTACAGATTTAGGTGGATTGAACATAAAAACAATTCAGTTTTTACAAAAAAAAGAAAATAAAAATAAAAACTCAAGAATTTTTTTTCAGCTTATGTTAAATAAGTAGCTTGAACAAACAGCAAACATCATTGTGTGTTTCAGGACACAAAAGTTTATTACACAGATATTACGAGGACATTGCTGATGTTCCCACCTCTCAAAAGTGTATAAATCATACAGAACTTTTCATAATCATAGGCGTTTCAGTGTGGAGTTTGCATGTTCTTCCTGCATTGGCGTGGGTTTCCTCCGGTTGCTCCAGTTTCCCCCACAGTCCAAAGACATGCGATATAGGTGAATTTGCCGTATTGTATCTGTGTAAATTTGAGAGTGTATGGGTATTTCCTAGTACTGGGTTGCAGCTGGAAGGGCATGCGCTGTGTAAAACAAATACTGGATAAGTTTGCGGTTCATTCCGCTTTGGCAACCCCTGATGAATAAAGGGACTAAGCCAGAGGAAAATTTATGAACGAATGAGTTTGAACAAACATCAAACATAATTTTTTCGAGTGCGTGTGTGTTTGTGTGTGAGTGTATGTCTGCATGTTACTTCTTTCTTTTCATTCTCACATGTTAATTTCTCTTTTAACACCAAACTCTCTAATAATTAATTGCCTGTATTGATTGTGTGTGTGTGTGTGTGTGTGTTGTGATATAATTATTACAGTATGTCTTTGATTGACAGACGTTTGATTTCACATTCTCTTGGCTTTAGACTGGCACAGCGTGCACTGATATTACTTGGTATTCATAGTCTCTTCTACAGCGTTTTCTATTTCTTGGACAAGAAAGTAAGGTAAAATATGTCCAAATATAATTTACAGACTAACTCTACTAAGTGTCCATACCATGTAACGCATCAGTATATGGTCGCTTTACAGTGTTCATGTTATTACATAAACACAGTCCTTTCACAACCTATAGGCTACTGAATGGGAACCGGTTTTCTAAATCAAATCTTCAAATCTTTTTTTTCACATAGTTTGATTGGATGTACTAAATGTTTTCTTCTCTTTGTGGTTTTTCTTCTTTTCCTAATAGTGTTTTAGTGTCATTTCTCAAGGAGCATTTAAAAAATCTGAATTTTTTTCATTACAAACAGTTATTAAATCAGTTATTATAACATTATATTTGATGACATGTTGATGACATGGTTTATGACCGTTATGTAGTGCATAACATTGCATGTGTTATAGAAAGTGGACTTCTTATTTGTTTTGGTTTCATTTAAGTTTTGGGACATTAAGAATCATCACTTTTTAATCAGTATATGAGTTTGTTGAATAAATGTGCATTATTTATTTATTTATTTATTTATTTATTGATACCATCAGATATTTGTAATAGTTTAGTAATGTATTGAACTATCATATAATTCACTGCAGTTTTTTTGTTTAATTTCTAGTCCAAATTAGGGCTCTGATTGATCAACCAGAGATCGATATCGGATTGATAATCACATCTAATGACTTGATTGGTACTCGCTGATCTGTGGTGCATTTCTGAAAACCATCGTTAGCCAACTAAGGTCGCAAGTTCGTTACAAACATAATTTGTTGATTTGGCATTACCCAAATCCATCGTTCCAACGAACATTCACAAACCGAGTTGCAAACTTGTACACTTGCAACTACACCACTGGAGCTGTAGTTAAAAACATAGTTCCTGGCTGTGCTCTATTTCCACTTATCCCCCTATGCCCTATTAATTTAGAGCATTCCAACATTTAAACGTGAAATTATAAAAAAAAAAAAAAAAACATTTTTAGCGATCCTTGCAATTGCGTTCCCTTCGCAGTGCACTTTGAAGACACTAATGTCATTTTGAACACAGCTGTGGCCCGTGTCATGATGAAAGCTATAGGCAACCTATTATTTAAAAGCGGAATTTATGTTACACCTCCAAAGCTTGTGAAAACAAAAAACAAAGTACATGTTAATGCTTTAAATTTTTTAGTAGGTTATTTATTAAGAAATGTAGCCTACTGTATATGACATGAGCCTGTTGGTTTGAACATTTCTGCAGTGGTTTGCATGTGTCGAATTATAAAAGTGGAATTTTCCAAAAATTAAAAATAAATAAACAAAATCCTACTTATTATTATTATTAATATTGTTTATGCATGTGCGTATAAAACAATATTATTTGCACAAAGAAATGATGGGGTTCTTCTCTAAAGTAGTTGTTACTCCACCCCGTTTAGAGCATCATTATGGGCATTTTATGTAAAAATTACGTAAGTAATTTATAGACCTACTTCCTTTAAATAAAGAAGTATTTGATTCATAGGTGTGCATTTCAACTTCTTACGCATCAAATATGCGCTCCAAACGTTTTCTTGATTGAGACATGTTTAGTTGCATAAATTGCATTCCAAGTTGCATTGTTAGTCTTATAATATAATCATATTAGAATATAATATACTTATAATGAATACTTAATAATAATGGTTAGAGACTTGTTTAAGGGATGAAATACAGCATCCCTAAATTATTCTCTTGGGTAAGAAAAGATCTCCACTTAAGTATCAATCTTAAAGGGAAAATGTACTTCATGTGTTATAAAGCTTGAAGCATCAGAACGGTACTCTGTATCGGCCGATTACCACAACAAGGCATCAGTACTATCGGCTGCAAAAATCCTGATTGGATCATCCAAATATCTAAAAATGTTTATATAAAGAAGCATTTTCTAGACAAAGTGAAAGATATCATCTTTTTTCAGAAATATAAAGTGAAAATTAAGTGAGTTTTTCTTTAAAATAAGCATAATAACCTGCAAATATACCGAAGCAAAAATGAATATTTTACTAATCCTTATTTTGGAAAAAATTTTGCAGCTTATTTTGGAAAAGCTTCATTTTGTTTTTTTTACGTATTTCTGAAAATAGGACAACTTTCTTTGTTTGTCATTATATGCAATTATTTTTAGATAGTTGGAATAGAAACAAGACACAAGTGTAACATGGACACTGTAATGTACAAACTTTTTATACATGGTTCTATTAATTTTTCTCTCTGTCTGTCTTTGTACTTATCTATCTACATTCAATCATTCATTCAACGTTTTTATCTGCCTCATGTTTGCTCTTTGGAGCTGAATTAGGAATGAGAGTTTCAGATTTAACTTTATCCCAGGTCATGGTGGAGTGCCGACTGGTTACCCTCATGGTGCCCAACATCTAAGGACCAGTTGAAGCAGGCAGAAGAGAGGATGCTGCAGAGTGAGTAACCATTGCGTCCTTAGCCAGACGCCATTGTGTCATTTGTTCATATTATTACATGTCCCAGTCCTCTTCTGTCATGTCCATTAATTTAATTAATCCATTAAATGTATCGAACCACATTTCTTACTTTTTATTTGTTTTATATATCACATTTGCTTATTATTTTAGTTGTAATGGGCTACATGTACAGCAAGTGTTTTTCAGCCACTTAAAAACTTCAGTTGAAAGGTTAAAGTGAATGTTCAGTACCCACCTCGGGCATCTAAAATACTGTGTATTTAAATGTAAATACCTTTTGTACAGTAGAATAAAAACCAAAGTGATACATACGTGCATAAAATATAGCTTCTACACTTTCAAACAAAACCACTTAAGGGGGTCTGGTGCAATGCTAGCCCTTTAAATCTTAAAGCAAAGTCGATGACGTCGACTTTAAGTGTGAAGGCAAATCATTAGATTACTGATGTCCTAGTACGCATAGCAAGCTTCGATCCTAGAAAAAAGGTATTTTCTTATTTTGATGACAGCCTTTCCACAGATTAGTATTAAGCTAATGTAATGGTAATTGTAAAATGCAAAACTTAAATTTATGCTAATGTAACCCAGCCTGTCCTACACCACCCAACCCGCTCCGAGTTGGTATTGAACCGACAACCTTCCGCATGGGAGTCGGTTGCTCTAACAAGGAGGCTAAAGACCAATGCCTCTAGTGTCTGTCACTAGAGCACCTTTAGATATCAGAGGAGTGAGGTTTACCTGCACAGCACTCACTAGCTGGCCTTCGTTACACTAACAAACGTATGATCAATAGAAATTCAATTCAAATATATAAAATATGAATTGATGTATACTTTAACCTTTAATAATATAGTTTAATTAGAGTCATCCACCATAATTTTGTGGCTAAAAAGTATCAGTTCCACGTTTTTGGTACCGTTTTAAAAGTATCAATTTAGCATCGGTATCGAAATAGCCCCAAACAATACCCAACCCTAAAAACTTACATATTATTTAACTATAAGCTACCTTTTTTCTTAAATTCTTGTAAGCCACTTGCTCTTTTTAAAGTTCATTCTCAAAAAAGGAACACATTTATTTCCTCTTTTCCTGTAATTCTTTTCAGACATCGCAAGCAAGCTCTGCAGGCAGTCTGTCCACATTTCTGACAAAAACTCACTGTGGACATTGATATCTAAGGGACCAGCAGAAAATAAGACCCCTCTGGTGCTGCTGCATGGATTTGGGGGCGGTGTGGGACTCTGGGCATTGAACCTAGACTCCCTTTCGCAACAGAGACCCGTTTACGCCTTTGACCTGCTGGGCTTTGGGCAGAGCAGCAGACCTCACTTCAACACAGATGCCCAGGAGGCTGAGATTCAGTTTGTGGAGTCCATCGAACAGTGGAGGGAGAAACTTGGCCTGGAAAGTATGGTTATGGTGGGACATAACCTAGGAGGATATCTGGCTGCTTCCTACGCAATCACATACCCAACCAGGTTTGTAACTAGTGGTTGACCTACATAGTTCATACAGAAAGTATTCATAGCGCTTCACTTTTTCCACATTTTTTTATAATAAAGCCTTATTCAAAAATGGATTAAATTAATTCGTTTTCCTTCAAAATTCTACACACAATACCCCATAATGACAATGTGAATTTTTTTTTTTTAATTTTTGCAAATTTATTAAAAATAAAAAACCTGAAAAAGCACATGTAAATAAGTATTCACAGCCTTTGCCGTGAATCTCTAAATTGAGCTCAGCTACATTCTGTTTCCACTGATCCATAGCCGGCAGCTAGCTCTCTGCAACTCTCACATGGTCGCCCACTGAAGCTAAGCAGGGCTGCACCCGGTCAGTACCTGGATGGGAGACCACATGGGAAAGCTGGGTTGCTGCCGGAAGTGGTGTTAGTGAGGCCAGCAGGGGGCACCCAACCTGCGGTCTGTGTGGGTCCTAATGCCCCAGTATAGTGACGGGGACTCTATACTGCTCAGTGAGCGCCATCTTTCGGAGAGACATTAAACCGAGGTCCCGACTGTCTGTGGTCGTTAAAAATCCCAGGATGTCCTTCGAAAAAGAGTACGGGTTTCACCCCGGCATCCTCACCAAACTTGCCCACTGGCCTCTGTCCATCATGGCCTCCTAATCCTCCCCATATCATAATTGGCTCTCTTGACACTCCGTAATCAGCTGGTGTGTGGTGTGCGGTCTGGTGCAAAATGGCTGCCGTCTTGTCATCCAGGTGGATTCTCCACACTGGTGGTGGATGAGGAGATTCCCACCTATATGTGTAAAGCACTTTGAGTGCCCAGAAAAGCGCTATATAAGGAATTATTTTATAATATTTCTATAATAATAATAATAATATTTTTATAATATAATATATTATTATTATTATTATTATTATCATTATAACCTGTGGTAAATTCAGTTGTTTGGACATGATTTGAAAAGGCATACACCTGTCTATATAAGGTCCCAGAGTTGACAGTGCATGTCAAAGCACAAACTAAGCATGAAGACAAAGGAATTGTCTGTAGACCTCTGAGAGAGTATTGTCTCGAGGCACAAGGCTGAGGAAGGTTACAGAAAAGTTCCAATGAGCACAGTGGCCTCCATCCGTAAGTTGAAGATGTTTGGAACCACCAGGACTCTTCCTAGAGCTGGTCGTCCATCTAAGCTGAGTGATCGGGGAAGAAGGGAGGTGATCAATAACCCAATGGTCACTCTGTCTGAGCTCCAGTCTTCTACAGCTTTCTGTGGAGAGAGTAAAACCTTACAAGATGTTTTTCAGCAGCAGGAACTGGAAGACTATTCAGGCCATAAAGCAGCAGGCGCAAAGACACTCAGGAGAGAAATTTGACATCTCAAAAAGCGTCCACAGCAGCCTCCTGGCTGCATTTGGCACTCTCCAGAAATGTGTATAGGGGTAATGTTTTCAGAATGAGCCTGAGTTGGAATAGAGATGCATTTTTAAAATCTCAGAATCGATGCAGAATCTATTTCTTGAACTTTTTTTTGGCACCACTCTTTAACTCAGTGGTCTCAAACTTAATTTCTGGAGGGCCACAGCTCAGCAGATTTAAGCTCTGACCACGTACCAACTCACACCTGCTTAATAGTCTGTAGTAGTCTTGAACACCTTGATTAGTGGGATCTGCTGTGTTTGATTAAGGTTGGAGTAAAACTGTACAGAGCTGCGGCCCTCCAGGAATCAAGTTTGAGACCCGTGTTTTAGCTAATCTAACTAACTACTCTTTACTGTATATTTAGAAGCAGATAAGCTACAGTGTTTTTTTCCAACCCAAGCTCATTCTGAAAATGCAGTCCCGCGGACGTTTCTGGAGACAGCAGAATATGTCCCAGGAGGTACGTACGGCTGCATTTATTTTTTTCAAGCAAACGCTACGGGATGGTGTGACGCTGTTCCCTTTTGCTCTTGCCTGCCGGCCGGCCGGCCGACCGCTTACCTCCTTGTGGAGGGCTTCCCCGCTGCAACCCGTTTGTCCACTCAGCTCAACGTTAACGTCGACAGGCTCGAGATGCAGAGAGGAGTTGACCATGCGATCGGTTTCGAGTCCGTGGAAGAGCGGTTCCAGCAATCAGCTAAGACAAAAACAGAATCCCAAAAATTAAGTGAACGAGTTTCGTAACAGGGTGAGAACGCGGTGAAATCAGGGCTTTTCTTTTTTTAGACGGTTTTTGTTAACTGTTGCTCGGGTTTAGGGAAGTGAGCGGGCGGGCGGGTCAATCGGTAAAATTGGTTGGGTTTAGGGAAGGAGGAGGGCGGGTCAGCCGATTGGCTGGTCGCGCAGTCAATCATCCGGTCAGTCGGACTGCGGCCTCTGGTGGGTTCACGCGAGAACAGCGCGGGTGCGAACTGCACTCGCGAGAGGCGTCTGAGATGCGAAAAAGCGCACAACAGCGGCCTCTCGCGGATTCGCAAAAACAAAAACTGCAGCCGTACATACCCACTGGGACGTATTCCGTGGTATCCAGAAATGTCCGCAGGACTACGTTTCCACAATGAGCCTGGGTTGTTTTTTTCTGAGCCTGATAATGAAAACAAAACACGAATACAATTGACAACTAATACAATGGATTTTATTTTAAGCAAACTGCAAAAGAAACATCTCTGACATCATGTGATTTAGGAAAATCATATGCAGATTGCAATTGTTCTCATTTTTTAACATTCTAAATAATATCTTATACATATTTCTTAGCTGCGTGTCATTGTTGTTCTACTTTCTCAAAAACAAATGCGTAATTATCCGATTTCTGAATATTCTCCTCTTGATAAATAGAAACTCGTCTCTGTGTCCTGTTGTGCAAACCACTGTTATTCACATCCTTCCTGTTTCTCCATTTCCAACAAGCTTTAAGTCCGTCAGCAATTTGACCTCAGAATTTGATTCTAAACATTTTCTGTTAGCATCAGATTTCAGCAGCATTTCCTGGATGTAGCTTTGCTTCCATCATCTCCATAAAGGTTTTTTGCCATAATATGACAATTAAAGAACCTAAACAGACTTATTACAACACGTCCTTCTCTTTACCCAAGAGTAAAGCACCTGATTCTGGTGGAACCGTGGGGTTTCCCAGAGCGACCCGAGCCAGGAAACCAAGACAGGCCGATTCCAGTGTGGATCAAAGCTATAGGAGCAATGCTGAGCCCATTCAACCCGCTTGCTGGGCTCAGATTGGCTGGACCTTTAGGTAAGATTTATTCTTATCTTAAAGTGAAAATCAAAAGTAATAATGAGAGAGAGAGAGAGAGAGAGAGAGAGAAATCGTAGCTCAAGGCGCTAAATATGTGCTTGTATATCTGAAATGATGTGGAACACAGTTAATAAAGGCTGTCATTAATGAAATCCCAGGAACAGATTTAAGCAAGATGTTGCACTGGCAATTTCACTAAAAATATTCACTCAGTAATTGGAGTGTGCCTCTTATCATACCTGGCTCATATCTCATTCCTTAATCGCTCTGCCTTTCCAGAAATGCTTCAGTAAAATAGTTTTGCAGGAACAAATTAGCCTTCATCAAAACCCTTCAGTTTTCCAGGATCTGAATATGTGTCTTTAAGTTTGTAGATTGATATTAATGTTGTTCTGATCATATTTCACAAAACTAGCTGTTGAATAACTCATCTAGGATGATATTTAATGTGTGTTACTCTCTTTTTCTATTTTATTACATGATGATGTTTGATCTTGTTTCATCTTAATTTCAGATAATTACTAAATAGTTACTAAATTATCCCCAGGGCAGAAAGCATTGTGATTATATGAAATGCGTAACCTTTGAAAAAAAAAGTCATTAGTTATACAGTAGTTACTAGTTAGTAACTGAATTACATCAGTATAAATGTAACTCTTTCCCAGAGATGGGTTGCGGCTGGAGGGGCATCCGCTGCGCAAAAACTTGCTGGATAATTTGGCGGTTCATTCCGCTGTGGCGACCCAGGATAAATAAAGGGACTAAGCCGACAAGAAAATGAATGAATGATGAATAAAAGTAACTCATTACCAGGGAAAGTAACTATTGAGTTACTTTAGAAACGGAAAAAACTATGTTGAATTAACAATTGTTCACTAAACTAAATTGTTCTAGAGTAAAAAAAAACACTCTATAGCTTATTAATGTTGCTGTGGGACAATGTGAAATATATTTATTAAATTTAAAATTGTATAATTGTAAGTATCATCACTTATACACTAACACTTTATTAGGTACACCTCGCTAGTACCGGGTTGAAGCCCCTTTCGCCTTCAGAACTGCCTTAATCCTTGGGGGTATAGATTCAACAAGGTACTGAAAAATTTCCTCGGAGGTTTTGCTCCATATTGAAATGATAGCATCACGCAGTTGCTGCAGATTAATCAGCTGCACATCAATGATGCCAATCTCCCGTTCCACCACATCCCAAAGGTGCTCTATTGGATTAAAATCTGATGACTGGAGGCTATATGAGTTACTGTTGCCTTTCTATCAGCTCCAACCAGTCTGGCCATTCTCATCTGACCTCTGGCATCAACAAGGCATTTGCGCCCACAGAACTGCCGCTCACTGGATATTTTCTCTTTTTCTGACCATTTTCTGTAGAGATGGTTGTGTGAAAATCCCAGTAGATTAGCAGTTTCTGAAATACTCAGACCAGCTTGTCTGGCACCAACGACCATGCCACGTTCAAAGTCACTTAAATCACCTTTCCTCCTCATTGCTCGGTTTGAACTGCTGCAGATCGTCTTGACCATGTCCACATGCCTATATGCATTGAGTTGCTACCATGTGATTGGTTGATTAGAAATTTGCGTTAACTAACAGTTGGACAGGTGTACCTAAAAAAGTGGCCAGTGAGTGTATAGTGGAACAATAAAACATAATAGATAACTGATAGAACTTTTAATAATTACCACAACTTGCAAACAAATAGGCTTAAAAATAAATGATGCTTCTTAGGAAATGTAAGAAAACAGAATTAATATTACAGGATAATTTTTAGAATATTATATAGAGTATATATTGATATAAAATATAAAAATAACTGACATCTTTTTATGGTTGAAACACAGATTTGCCGATTACATAAGATACTGTACATTTCAGCCTGTTCCTTTCAACAAACCTTCTAATGTCCATTCATATTTTAATCTTTAATAATGACTAGTTTTTGTTGTCCAACCTGGGTCATGGTTATAAACTTCAAATTGTTCTTTCACTTTCAATTGTGAGTAGTCTATAGTATGTCCATATCATGTCCATGTGTAAAACTTTGCAATGTGAGTGATGGACATTGCAATTCCTTGAAATTCTGTCAGAGTTTTCTGTCAAGTTCTGTAGGACTCTGAATAGGGCTGAACATTAGTAGTCACTGACATTAGGAACATGTGACATGTGAGCAAAGAACTGTTAATACAGTACGATAAAAATTGTATGAGTGATCCATATTTTTTCAGGTGAATTTAAACTTTTATTTTTATTTCTTTATTTATTTTTTAAATGTGTTTGAATTGCTCTTTAGGTCCCACTCTTGTGCAAACACTGAGACCCGACTTCAAAAAGAAATTTGCAACTATGTTTGATGACAACAGAGTCACAGAATACATCTACCATCTTAATGTCCAAAGTCCAAGGTACGTGGATCCAATCCATCCATCCATTGTTCTATTATTCGTTCTGTCTATCGTTCAACCTGTTATTCTTTCATTCTATTGTTTAATCTATCATTCTATCGATTGTTCTATCAATTGTTCATCCATCCATCTATCATTTATCTGTCTATTATTCTATCTATCATTCTATTCCTATATTTATAGTTCTAATGTTTGTTCTATCTATCATTCGTTCTTCACTCTTGGAAAAAAGGGTAAAATGTTGTACCAAAGAAGGTACAAACCCTTGTCCCTACGGCAGTACCTTTTTATGGAACAGAATTGTACCTTAGGGCAAAGAAACAATTTTGTACCATTGCAGTCTCTCTGTCTATCTATCGTTCGTTCGTTCTATCAATCATTCTATCGATCTTTTCTATTTTTTATTCTATCTTGTTCATTTCTCCATCCATCCGTCCATCCATCCATCCATCCATTCTATCCCTCTTCTTATTGTTCTATTGTTTGTTCTTTCCATCAATTGTTCTATCAATCTTTCTTTTTTTAATCTAGCTATAGTTAATTTTTCCATCCATCATTAGTTCTGTCTATCTATCTATCTATCTATCTATCTATCTATCTATCTATCTATCTATCTATCTATCTATCTATCTATCTATCTATCTATCTATCTATCTATCTATCTATCTATCGTTCTATCGTTCTATCTATCTATCGTTCTATCTATTGTTCATTTCTCTGTCTGTCTGTCTGTCTGTCTTGTCTGTCTGTCTGTCTGTCTGTCTGTCTTGTCTGTCTGTCTGTCTGTCTGTCTGTCTGTCTGTCTTGTCTGTCTGTCTTGTCTGTCTGTCTGTCTATCTATCTATCGTTCGTCGTTCTATCAATCATTTAATCGATCTTTTCTAATTTCATTCTATCTTGTTTATTTCTCTATCCATCCATCCATCCATCCATTCTATCTCTCTTCTTATTGTTCTATTGTTTGTTCTTTCTATCAATCATTCTATCAATCTTTTTTATTTTTCATTTTACCCATAGTTAATTTCTCCATCCATCATTAGTTCTGTCTATTGTTCTATCATTCTATTCCTCTATTTATAGTTATGTTATTTGATCTATTTATCATTCGTTCTATCAATCTTCTATTTAATCTATCTATCTATCTATCTATCTATCTATCTATCTATCTATCTATCTATCTATCTATCTATCTATCTATCTATCTATCTATCTATCTATCTATCTATCGTTCTATCGTTCTATCGTTCTATCGTTCTATCTATCTATCGTTCTATCTATCTATCGTTCTATCTATCTATCATTCTATCTATCGTTCTGTCTATTGTTCATTTCTCTGTCTGTCTGTCTGTCTGTCTGTTTTGTCTGTCTGTCTGTCTGTCTGTCTGTCTGTCTTGTCTGTCTGTCTGTCTGTCTGTCTGTCTGTCTGTCTGTCTGTCTGTCTGTCTATCTATCTATTGTTCGTCATTCTATCAATCATTCAATCGATCTTTTCTAATTTCATTCTATCTTGTTTATTTCTCTATCCATCCATCCATCCATCCATTCTATCTCTCTTCTTATTGTTCTATTGTTTGTTCTTTCTATCAATCATTCTATCAATCTTTTTTATTTTTCATTTTAACCATAGTTAATTTCTCCATCCATCATTAGTTCTGTCTATTGTTCTATCATTCTATTCCTCTATTTATAGTTATGTTATTTGATCTATTTATCATTCGTTCTATCAATCTTCTATTTAATCTATCTATCTATCTATCTATCTATCTATCTATCTATCTATCTATCTATCTATCTATCTATCTATCTATCTATCTATCTATCTATCTATCTATCTATCTATCGTTCTATCGTTCTATCTATCTATCGTTCTATCTATCTATCTATCGTTCTATCTATCTATCATTCTATCTATCGTTCTGTCTATTGTTCATTTCTCTGTCTGTCTGTCTGTCTGTTTTGTCTGTCTGTCTGTCTGTCTGTCTGTCTGTCTGTCTGTCTGTCTGTCTGTCTGTCTTGTCTGTCTGTCTGTCTGTCTTGTCTGTCTGTCTGTCTGTCTGTCTATCTATCTATTGTTCGTCGTTCTATCAATCATTCAATCGATCTTTTCTAATTTCATTCTATCTTGTTTATTTCTCTATCCATCCATCCATTCTATCTCTCTTCTTATTGTTCTATTGTTTGTTCTTTCTATCAATCATTCTATCAATCTTTTTTATTTTTCATTTTAACCATAGTTAATTTCTCCATCCATCATTAGTTCTGTCTATTGTTCTATCATTCTATTCCTCTATTTATAGTTATGTTATTTGATCTATTTATCATTCGTTCTATCAATCTTCTATTTAATCTATCTATCTATCTATCTATCTATCTATCTATCTATCTATCTATCTATCTATCTATCTATCTATCTATCTATCTATCTATCTATCTATCTATCTATCTATCTAACTGTCTGTCTGTCTGTCTGTCTGTCTATTTTTCTACTGATCTTTCATTTATCGTTCTATCTATTGCTCTATCATTCTATCTACCTATTGTTCAATCATTCTATTTATCAGGACCAGGATTCCTCAAAAGAGATAGAAAAGCTACATGGTGGCAGTGCACTTTTCACTATTGGTTGGGTTTAGGGAAGGGTTCAGGTCACTGGTTCGCAAGGTGAGCTGTAGGACAAGGCCTGCCACCTTGTGGAAATCACAAGAAAGCTGTGTATCTGAAACATACAACCAAATGTACCCTGAATAGTGTATTTTAAAATTGCAAAAATTTAGATAGCACCCTCTAGTGGATTTTTTATCCAAAACATGCTTAAATGCATTGTATTATTCGCTATACAAAAATATAGGCTGAGGCGTTTATTTCCCATGAGCCTGGGCTGTATCTATCTTTCTGTCTGTTTATATGTCTGTCTTATTTATTCTCTATTATGTTTCTGACGTGAATGCCATTGTATAATATATATGTGCTGTAATGCTGACATGCTCATAACGGCGTACATGTTTGTTTTGTTTTTATTATGATTATTATTTTTAGTGGTGAAACAGCCTTTAAAAACATGACCATTCCATATGGCTGGGCAAAGAGGCCCATGCTGCAGAGAATTGGCCTGATTCACGACGACATCCCCATTACCGTGATCTATGGCTCACGCTCCAGCATAGATGGCCACTCCGGCAATTCAATCAAAGAAATGAGGCCAAACTCCCATGTCGAGATCATTGTGAGTTCTCCATTCACTGCTCAGCACACACCGCCACACATAAAAGACTCCTGCATTTCTTAAAGGGGTCATACCTTCCTCTTTTTACACTTAGTTATGAATTTAGAATCAGAATATGAGTTCAGAATTATGAATATTTTGAAAGGGAAATCATGTTAATATAAACTTTATTGCCCAAAGTCTAGCTTTACCAGGCCATTTGATGATATCGCATATGGATAAATGAGGATTCTTGATGCAGTGCCGCCTGAGGAATCGTAGATCCCGGATGTTCAGCTTAGGCTTGCGCCTGTGTCTTTTACACACTGAAATTCCTCCTGATTCCTTGAATCTTTTAATTATGGTATGCACTGTTGAAGGTGAAATATTCAAATGTCTTCTTATCTTTCTTTGAGGAACATTGTTTTTAAACATTTCAATAATTTTCTCACGGCAATCCTCTGCTAATCTTTGCTCCTAAAAGACTAGACCTTTCTTGGATGCTGCTTTTCTTGATGTCTATAGCCCTTTTACAACGTACGTAGAAATAAAACATAAATGAAAATGTCTTGTCTTAGTCCTATCAAAATAGCAAACACTGAACATCTTTCTATATTTAGGCTGCTTTATTTATTTATTTATTTTAGACTACTTATTTGTACTAAATGTTTGTGCTTTCATTTTAGTTGTCTTTTACTTCTTCAATTCTATTTTCCAAAGCGAATCCTCTTTGCACTTAAAAAGTTTACAATAAAGCGTGTTAACAAATTTTAAATGATTAATGAAGGAATTATAATGCTTTGACTTATTGTTTAATATCATTTACAAGCACAGTGGCTGCTGTATGGGCTATTTCTGTCCGTTCGCATCCCGTCCCTTTGCGCCCCCTGGCGGCTCATTCACAAACTGCGGTCATACACTAAAAACAGAGCGGCACCTATTTCAAACGGCGGCGGTTCATGCTGCGGCGTTAATAGCCACTTTGAACTCTCACCTACTGTAGATTGTGTCAAAGCAGCTTAACGTAAAAGTTTTAGTAAATTGAAAGTGAAACTAGGACAGTCCAGCCTTTGTACCAAATTATATTTAAAATAACCTGTTGACATCACCTGTTTCAAATAACATCATTATTTAAGCAATTTACCTGATTACAAGCCCTAAATTTCTCCTGTCCCAACTGTTTGAATGTGTTGCAGGTCTGAGTGACAGAAAAGGATGTATATTTACAAATGAAATAAAGTTGACCAGACAAAACATGAAATATTTTGCGTTCATGTTGTCTGCAATGAAATACAAGTCAAATCACAACTTTCTTTTTTTTCTATTTGCGCTTTCCATACTATATATGGGGTTGTATAATGTATGCACTATATAATGTATATATATACATTATATAATAGATATAACATAACACTTTACATTGTGTAGTACATATAACTTTTATAAATCCTAATGCTGTGTTCATCCAGTGGCTTTTAAAACACACTTATATGGTTTGAGGCAATTGGTCTACTTAAGTGGTTTGAATTCTCTTAAAGGGATAGCTCACACCAAAATTGAAAGTTCTCTCATCAATTACTATTTACTTGACTTTCTTTCCTCTTTCTTAAAGAAGTCTGCAAAGCTGTAACAATTAACTGATTGTTTTCTGCATTCTTCGAAATATCTTCTTTAGTTTTAAACAGATGAAAGAAACTCATAAAGGTTTGGAACCACTTTAGAGAAACTAAATAGTATGTGAATATTCATTTTTGGGTGAACTATTCCTTTAGCTTTTTAAGTCTTACTGTAAAGTATGGGTTGTGTGAATCCAATTACACGGGTTTAGATTGATTAAAAGAGATATCCTAATCTTTATAATGGAGCTCAGGGGGAAAACTGTAAAAATGCCTATTATTTATTTGGGCATGATGATAAGCAGCATATTCATAAAGTAAATTAACATTGAATTAGCTTTAGCTAGATGATAGAACTTCAGCAAGTAACTTGTTATACCCGGTGGGAGTTTTCATTTTAATTCATTCTAATAGATGCAAGTAGCCTTGCAAAAGTTATGCCATTGCTGGAATTGGCAGACAATCCAAAATCAAAAGGTTTTGTTTTGCACAATGAATGGGCTTGTGTTCTAGACTGACTTCTCTTAACACAGAAACTCAGCTAATTAGTCTAATTCCACATCGCCATTGTGTAATGTACTTATACACAAAGAGCCAAGTGCAAATATTGCACCATTTCACATCACAATCTTTGCCACTGGTTCATAATAAACACCCATATTTAATTATGGCACTCCTGATTGATGCACACATTGTTTTCTTGGTATGTTTAGTTGTTGTCTGTATACCTAAAAACGTGTTGATGTGCATTGCTTTAGGTCATACGAGGTGCCGGACACTATGTTTATGCTGACCAGCCTGAGGATTTCAACCAGAAGATACTTCATGTCTGTGATACAATAAGCTGAATAGGGATGAAGGTATATTTTTCTTCTGGAACTATCCAAACAGAGCTTATGGTGTCTCCACATTGGCTCATGCATGTCAACACATGATCTTCGTTGCATATGAAATTTGGACTGGAGATTTGGGAAGCCACTGGGTTTGAAAACCACATGTTTTGCACCACTACTGGACTTTTTTGAAGCATTTGTGTTTGTGTGTGTGTGTGTGTGTGTGTGTGTGTGTGTGTGTGTGTGTGTGTGTGTGTGTGTGTGTGCCAATCAATTGGGTCATTTCATGTCAGATCAACAACATTTCCAAATATTCCCTTACCGTACGTTCACACCGAAAGCGGCGAGAGACCCTGGCGACAACGCTGTCTGCCTTCAGCTCCGGCGGCGAGAGCGTCAAAACTCGCTACATTGATTTAAAGGAGCCGTTGCAGCATATCAGTTACATTCCTGCATAAAACATGTTTCTAGCGTGAAAATGTTGCGCACTTATCAAATTCATATAACAATGGAAGATCAAGTTGCGTGTAGTGTGGCTTTGCTCTTTTTATCCAATATGTGTCCATTTGTCTGAAATATCCTGAAGCAGCAGTACTGTTTTGTACTGTCACGTCGCGTGAGATTGCCGCTTTTTAAAGATAAATTTATATAACATTAATGGACATCAGTAACTCGCCAGTAAGTTATTTAATGCATGTTCCTGTAAGAAAACATTGTAAATAATTGAAAATCCAGCGACCGCAATAATCAAACACTTGGGAACAACTGTGGTCGGAACCAAAGTTCACAGGTCTGTGTTCTCTGAACTCCCATCAAGCGGTGGATGTCTTGATTCTGATTGCTTGCCGCCAAACCACGTCATAGCTCATTACCATAAAGTTGACTTGATTTCAACTCTCCTCGACGCCCACGCCAGAGAAGATGCTCCGCGCCGCTCCTTGCCGCTTAACGCCGCCGGCTCTCATTGAAAATGAATGACTTCTGGCTACTTTGACGCTCTCGCCGCTTTCGTTGTGAACGTACGGTTACTCTGAAATTTTATTTTCTAAAGACAATCTTTGAAGTAGTCGACCATAAATTGTTAAGAATATTAAATAAGAAAAGATCTTTGATTGATATTCACAAAAGGGCTGTTTGGGTTTGATAAATTAATAGGTTTTACCTGACATTTTTTATTGTCAGGTTTGGTTGTCTGTATATTAACTCAGGAAGCATTATTAAATGCATTAATATCTCTGAGCATATTTTTTTGTGTTCAAAAAAATAAATTCTGGTCTTTGTTCTTGGATATACTGAATGTTTAAACATATTATTGTTTCAGAATAATAACATGCATTACATACCTGAGTGCCTTATATAATATGTTTGCAAAAAATGGTGTATGCAGCTTAAGTATTAAATCTCAGAATGATTTTCAGATCATAGATCTTAACAGACTTTTATTTTGTAGTCTTCAAGGCCCTGTATGATTCAGTTATACTGTGAATATCGATCCAAAATAGTCCAAAATAGTTGAAAACCAAATGCAGATCACTTTGCATACAGAGCTGACATGGAATGATCCATTAAGTTTGCGTGTCACATTATGACTATATTAATGTTTATATAATGATGTGAAAAACGTGAAAAGTATCTATTTTTAAATGTGAAAATGTTGATTTTAATAGAAATTTATTATGACAATGTACATATATACTTTGATATGTATTATGTATATTAATATATATTAATACATTATATTAAATTTGTTATATGTAAATATTTATAACTTCGAAGACACAAAGCCATGCACAAGATGGCGACAGAAACCGCATAATAAGCCCTTAGAGGAGGAAAAACCCTACATAACTTTAAACTACAGCTGATCTAATCATTTTAAACTGGTAAGTGACTTTCTAAGTCGATCTCTTTCTTTTTTATGTTGTAGTGCTGTATTTATACTGTAGTAATTGTAGTGGTACTCGTAGCAGTGGGAAATGGCTGTATATCGTCACTGGTGGGACACTAACACCCCATTCACATGGGGCGACAGCGTCAACGCTTCCCATTCACTTTAAATGGGTGACGTCAAGCGTTGTCGAATTGAATTGTGGGTCCGTTGGCGCTGCTTCAGGAGTTCTGCTCGCTGCAAAAGTCGAGACTTTCTCAACTTGTCAAGTGTCAATGGAAGCGTCAACTAATCAGATTGATATATGAAAATACACCGGCTCAGACAGTAGCCGATTGCTGACTCATTTCATTGGCTGGCGCTATGATGATCGTGTCAGCCCCAACTTTAGACATGCCCTCTGTCAAGCGCTGAAGCCCTGTGTGAATTGGGCGTAAGGCACTCGGGCTACAGCCTCGAGTCAACGCATGCCTCCCATCAGTGTCGATATATAGTCATGTCACCCTGCTACTCGTAAATATGAGCAATATCACATGAGCAGCAGTGCAAACATGGCTATATGCAGGCAGAGTACCTTAGTGTCCCACCAGTGACTATATACAGCAATATCGCACCTCTACTCATGTGATATTGCGTTTATACAACAGGCCGATGGCATAATCATTTATATAAAAAAGAAAATCAAACACAGAGAGTCTCAAAAATCCTGTTGTATGAAGAGCTACATTCTTTCACCATTCATTCACATCTGCAGTAGATGTCAAAACAACAGAAAGTATTGCTACTTTACAAACATCACTTTAGAACAAGTATTTGAATGACATGGCGTAATATCTAAATTAAATCTAATCTCACATTTTAAGATTATAAGGCTGAACGGCATGAAATGCCATCAGTCTACAGAGATTCCTCAGTATTTCTCTGTTGCAATTGGGAGATCACAGTAATTAGCCCTGAAAAAGCCAAAGCAAAGCAAACACTAGCAGATTAAAATGATATACATACAGCACTACAACATACAAAAGAAAGAGATCGACTTAGAATGGCACTCACCTGATTAATAATGATTTGACATTTTTCGCCATCTTGTGGTGGAACGTCAACCGTCTTTGCTCTGCTCAGTATGACAGGCCGATGGCCACCGGCGTGCTGAATCTCCAAAATTATACATATTTAAAATAGGCACTATTCTTATAAATGATCTGCATAGTTGCAATCTAACTAAACTAACTAAATTCTCCCAAAAAGCCTCAAAAGTACATTATGTTGTCCAACAGCTGCAATATTTGTAGTGAGTCTATTGATCTGCTATCACTCTATGTGGGCGAAGTAATACACACAAGTGCAGAGGCTGTACGAGTGCTGTTATTGCAGAATATCTCACGGCTATCAGCTAATCAGATTCGAGAACCAGACAGAACTGTTAATACGTACATACATAAATCTGTATATGCATAATGCATCCATACTCAGCATAAATAAGTGCACCCTTCACTTTTAACAGAATGAAATGTCTGTCACTTGCTTTTTTTTGTATTGTTTTTTTTATCTATTTGAATAATGAAAGGAAAATACTTTTCAAATGGAAACTACAGGGCACTGGAGGGCGCTGGTGAGATACATAGAGGGTATAAGATGAGAAGAAGAAGAGGAAAGGGGTCAGTTTTTTTATGGAACTAATAACTATCAAACTAATAGTAATTTTGTGAAGTATTAGTCGAGAAACCTAGAGTTTTAAGCTCAACTTAAGGACTTCCATAATGTTTGAAGGGTATGATGTCTGATTAATCTTGGACGATTTTTCTTGGAGGCCATCATCCAGTTTCATTCAAACATTAACTGTGAGTTTGAAGAAGTGGATCAGTGACTTTCAACGCACTCAATGTTTTTCTTTGTTCAGAAGAAGGGACCATCATCAAACAGCTAAGACATTATACAGTATATATTCTTTTGTGTTTGGAAGAAGTTTAAAAGAGTTTGGGGATTTATTAGATTTGTTTTTGAGTGCATTGTTCAGTGAACAAGTATGTTTCCAGTTGGGAAATAAAATATATATGCATAGAGTAAATATTTGCTAGCATCAGTATTTCACTAATATCCTAGTGGTAACCTTTTAATGTGACTGCAATGAATAAAACAATTGAAAAGTTATTACTTCTTTGGTACTATTCAGTACCAAAGCCAAAACTGGAACTAATTAAACAAAAAAAAAATTAAATAGTTTTAATAAACAGAAAAAATCAAATGAAACAAACAAAAAAAAATTAGTTAATAACTTGTTTGACTTTAAATATATTATCTTTTTATTCCTAAAGATGTTTGATGACCAAACAAAATGCTTTTGTTTAATTGCACCAAAGATTATTGGCTATATTTGCTGAGAAATTGCTAAAAGTATACATTTTTAAAAGGGGTGTACTCATTTATGCTGAGCACATTATATTTACAAATCTATGTATGTACATATGTAAATAATCACATATATAACTGTATAAATTAAAGCTGTTGGAGCGGTTTTGTTTATTTAAGTTTTCAAATATGAACTACCATAATGGGCGTAATTACCCTCCAAAAAACCTTGTAAATTATTATTAACAATATTCATATTTTTATAAAGATTTAGTTTTTGAAATTCATCAGAAACAAAGACAGCAATGGTAGTGTTGTGATGTTTTATTTTTGTCTTTTTCTACCTCATGAAATTGTCAAAGATTCCTTGTTCGGATCAGAAGGGAGCAGCAGAAATCGTGTACAGCAGGGGGTGATTGAGTGACCCCATTTATCTGATATGTTTCAAACTTTTATCTGCTCACCATTGCATTTATATTAACCATATAATAAATGTAAGAAAACTGTATTTGTGTTTGTTGCTGTAATTTGTTTTTTTCAAAGATGGTGCAAGCTGAGTATAGGAGTGTGATATTGCCAAAAAATCTGAATACATTGAGTGATTCATTGAATAAAGCGTTTATTTGTCTGACATATTTAGACTATGTCCACATGGCAATGATCAGGTTTTTATTCTTTTGCAGATGCCAAAAGTTTTGCATCCATACACATCCAGATGCAAATGGGAAAACGAGGTTACAACGGTGTAATATTTATGCCACACCTGTATGTGGTGCTGTAAAACAAACACAGACAGAGCCACAGGATACACTAAACTCAAAGAAAAATGCAGAGAGCTTACACATAAAGGCCTTCTTCAGGCCCCGTTTACACTAGTGCGTTTTAGTTTTAAAACGGTGTTGTAGAATGAAAACGATCCGCGTCCACACTCGCGTTTTACCCAGCGTTTCTGAACAGCTCTCCGTCCACACCAAAACGCTGAAAACGCACATCACGTGACCACACACACACTCTCGGGCAAGCGCTCCAGCATTTCTACCCAGATGAGAGCTCTGCTTGTCGGACTGCTCATCAAGCATCTCCCGCTGGATCTTATCTCGCTATATTTGCTAAACGTGATATTTCATTCATGTTGTTGTCTTTATCTAACGACATAGGCCAATTCCCTGACTTTGGTCATTGGAATCTATTAAGTTACTTG